GTAAACTTTTTACTTAAGGCAGATCTGGAAAGTTAACTGTTATTACAGAAATCTGTAGTATCAGGGTATTTAATTACAGACAGCAAAACCTAGAAGGGGCTTTAGAAATTACCAAATCAAATATGCTTATTTTATAAATTGGAAATTGAAAGTCCCTTAAAAAAAGAAGTTTAAGCCCTTAAAGATAAAAGTGGTGCTGGAACAAAAAGTCAAATCTCAATTTCCAATTATACTCTTTCCTCTATGCTACATTACCTCTAAAAGAGTGACATAATGAAAACATTTTTAGGAAGACTATTTTAACAGTACTTATAGGCCAGAATAGGAACGGAAAGACTGGAGGCAGGAAGCCTAGTCTGAGAGGGAACAGTAGTGATTAGGGCATGTAGGTCAGGGCAGCTGGGCATTCTTACAGGATTGAGAATGGGTTACAACAGCCATCAGATGAAGCATTCCAACACCCAATGACCCATTCAGTGGTACTTTAAGCTATTAACCAGCAAAGAGACAGAACTTTCCCACTCACAAAGTTGTAAGATAAAAATAAAATTTACCTTATTACATTGTCTGATGTTAACAGAACTATGTGGGGATCCAGCACTTCACTTGGATACCAGGCAGCATGCTTTAGAGTCAGAGAGGTACAACTGGTGAAAAATCTCTCAGCAATTGGAGTGGTACTAAAATAAAGACAACAAATTCCCAAAACATTTTGAACTTGGATGAAAAATCTCCTAAAGGAAAATTTAACACACTGTGCTCTTCTTTCCTTCAAATTTCTTTCTCCTAATCTTGCTGAGAGAGCATTCAAAGCATCTACTCAATACCAAAAAACATAATAATATTTCCTAAATTATACAGTATTTTATACTGTACTTTATAAGTCATTTAAAATATAATACCTTATTTGATCCTCTTAGTAACCTTGTAAGAAAACCTCATGAGACAGATATTCTTATTGCGGAAATGAAGAAATAGATTTAAATGGGAAACATTTTAAGGTGACCCAACAGCTCAGTTATGGAGCTAAAGGTGGGTTTCTACCTTATATTCTTCTCACTAGACCTTTCAGACTCTCACTTTTCTAGATTTGTTGACAAAGAAAAAAACACAAAAATAAAACTTAGTTAACCTTATGAGCAAGCTCGCTAGCTCACAGACAGAAACTGCTTTTAAAAAATCTTTTTACCTACTTGAAAAAATGGCCTGACTTGTAACGGGCTGGCAATGTGGTAATTCAACCAGAATAAAGGTACAATCATACATATACTATAAATATTACTGTAAAAAAGACTATGTGCAGACCATCTGAATCTGATGTTTCCATAGTGGCACAGTAAACATACCTTAAGAACCACGGGTCTGGAACAATTTTCTGCATATGTTACAAATTATACCGATAAACACTAGATGGAAATGCAACTTACCTACAATTCACTGTTGATTTTCCACCTTCAAATTCAGAATTCTTCCCCCATCTTTTAGGTAATTCTAATACCATAAGTCCTTTCATTCCTATAAGTGCTACATGATGTTGGTTTGGACTTAGCAAGACTTGATAGATTTCAAACAGGGGCGGATTTATGCAGAGCAATCTCTGGAAATTAAAGCAAACCGGTCAAAAGAGTTAATTTTAACGTAAATATATGTGGTAGTTACTAGAAAGCCCAGTACTGCTCTAGTTTTCTACAACTGTACAATAATGAAGCATTCTGCATACGTACTAACACTTGGGCCTCAAACTGATGAAATATTTTCAACCATTTAAATTGGGATGTTATATGAAATGCATCAGATTTTCCTACCCTGATAAATAAATACTACTACTGATTTCCCTTTTTATGATCAAACTCCAGCCTATCACTTCAGTCTCAACTCTCCACCATTCCCTACTTGCACTTTACATTCCAATCGGATTAACTTGTATTGCTGGGAAATCATGCTTTGTTAAATAAGCCTGTGTGTCTTTGCACAACTGTTCCTCTTCCTGCAACACCCTCATTTTCCTTTTTTAGCCTGCTAACACATTCTTGGAGACTCAGTTTTTATGCACTTTCCTCCACAGAAACTATCCCTGGTCTTCTGGCCAGAGATAAATATATTCATCTTTTCTGTACTCTTATAGCACACTCTGGACAGTTCTATTATAGTTCTTGTCATCCTGAATCCTAATCAGCCTTTTACTTGCTCATGCCCACCAACCGTCAATTCTTGAGATCTGGGTCTTTCCACTTTATATCCTTAGGATAGTATATATTGCTGACTGTCACGTAAATTTTAGTGAATAGACAAATGAAAACCTCAGAAGTATTAATAAATGACAATTGCTGTTACATTAAAAACATTATAGTAAGACAGAGAATGGCTTCAAGAGCTTCTGCAGGAAGTAAAATGCCGTGAACCTATGCACAGACTCACTATGGAACAGCGGTATTTCCAGGGGGTTCTGATGAGCTGTTTGTCTTAGCATCATGTGCCTTCACAAAAACGCACTTCTATTGGTACTATTTCCTCTCTCAGGACCACCTCAAATTCCTATTTTCCTTTTCTTCTACTTTCAGTAATAAACCATGAGATTTGCCAATGTATTGTATATCTTTGTGTATGGAGAGTCACCCCAAGCCAAAATCTTTTTAGATCAGACTGTTCTGAATATAATGAGATGCCTATTAATTGCTACTGATATCTATAAGCCTGTTTTTTTGTCTTTAGCTGCCTTCACTGATTCTAATCAAATTGATTTTTTCTCCTGTTAGTGCTTCTTTCCTTCTTTTCCCTATTCCTCAACCCCCATCTTCATTCTACTTGATTCTGACAGCCCATTTCAAAGTACAGACACCTTTCTTCTGCTATCTGCACAATCCACTTTCGGTCACTTGTGATAATCACAGTGATTTAGGGCTTTGTCTGTCTGTTGTTTTGTTTTGACAGTTAACTATTTGTGCTTTCATTAACGTTTAAAGTTGCAACTCATGTCAAGCTGCTTTCCTGCCTAGCAGTGAGTTGTCGAGATTCTGGAGGACTGAGGGCTAGTCACACAGTCATCATTTACTGAGAGCTTATACATTCCAGATTCTGGGAATTACTGGAGACAGAGAAGAGACATAACCCCCCTGCCTTGGTGCTTACAGTCTCAAAAAGATGACAAATAAATGAGTAATTTAATCATGACTATACTAAATGCTGCTCAGCAACACAGTGTGCTTTAAATTCAAATCATTCTCATCAACAAGAATATGGCACACAACAGATGCCATGCATTAGGATGGGTTGCTGCTTTTTTCATCTTTAAAAGGCAATCAGTTTATTGCAAATAAATATTTCCATAAAACAACGTTTGATCACAGCAAATCTGGTCTTCTTTGGGTCACACCCACTTTCACACACTTCTGGCTTATCAAAAACAAAGGTGGGGAGACGGGTGAAACAGGTGAAGGAGATAGAGAGGCACAAATGTCCAATTATAAAAGAAATTAGCCACAAGAGTGAAAGTACAACAAAGGAAATGTAGTCAATAAAACTGCAATATCTTTGTATACTGACAGGAGGTTGTAAAATATACAGAAGTGGTGTAATCACTATGTGGTACACCTGAAACCAATGTAATATTGTATATCGATTATATTTCAATTAAAAAACAAGCAAAAATCTCTTTCAATTTTGGGGATGGCCTGGTTTTCTAAAAGGGAAAAGAATTAACGGGGATTCCTCCTCAGGCACGAAACTTGGTTTCAAATCTACTGCCCGATTTGACGCTCACAACAGCCCCAAGAGAGTTAGGATTATCCCTATAATTTTATTAGTGTCACCTCATGAAATAGGTTTTGCAGGACCAATCTACTAAAATCTGCAACTGCACCCACACTCTACTTACCTTGCCTTTTCCTCAGAGCGCTTGCATCACTGATACTTTCTGTCTACCCCGTGGTCCTTCCCTTCCTCCCAAGACCTCAACAACGTTAAGTATCTGGGGGTCACGAAGTTCCCGTGATATAGGGTCTGGCAGTGTCGGGGTCAATGAACATTTGTCGAAGGTATGACATACGGAAAGTGAAGCTTCAAGAGGTTATGTGGGCGTATTAGAGGCGAATGAAAAATAAGGAAGGAAAAAGAGACTTTTCCACTCGAAACCGGATGTCCCCCAAAGAACGTGTGCTTCACTTGAACAGCACACCTACTAGAAGACGAGGAACAGCCAGGATGGGAACGGAACATTAAAACTAGCTCGGATCCCGGCCGAGGGGTCATTCCCAAGATGAGCCCGGCGTACCTGGTACTGAGAGAGGGAGGGCTCCTCGCCGGCGCCGCCGAGGCCCCGAAGGCGAACCACCAGGAAGGAGCTGCCTTCTCCGTCCCACAGGTAGAGCTCTCCGTCCAGGCCTAAGACCAGGTTTCTCGTTAGCAACTGAGGCGACAGCGGCGGCGATGAAGGCAGTGATGAAGGAGCCGGTTTCTCAGCTTCCGCTGGGCTCTGGTTTTTCAGTCCCTCCCGGAGCCGCAAGAACACGACGTGGTTAGGAAGCCAGGTCTGCCACCGATCCCGGTCCCCTGCGAGTCCTTCGATAGCAGCCATCTTCGCCCAGCTTCTCCTCTTATCCTGGCTGCTCAGCCCGCCGCTGAGCGCAGCCAATCCACAGTCAGCTCTTCTCTGCTTCGGCCAATTATCTAGCAGGCAGCTCATTTTGCGAGCACGTGGCTAGGGACGGGGGAGGGACGAAGGTGAGGCCAGCCCATCAGGAAGGGGCATCGTTAGAGGAAAGCCAGTCGCCATTCAGTCTGAAGCCAAAGGGGGCGGAACGAGAAAGATGCAGAGGCCAGTTGCTGCTTAGAGATAGCTCTGTCGTTGCAGGTAGTACCGGGGGAGCGTCAGAGATCGGTGTGTCTGATTTCTTGACACTTCTGGAAAACCTAGACATCCGAAACCTGACGTCAAGACCTACCTCCCTCAATCCAGGTTGGGCTGACCGCGCAGTTATCACTACTTCAGTCGCCGTACCTTGGGTTGCCCAAATCTGTCTCCGTAGGAGGCGGTTGACACCGTTCCCAGTATTCCGTGAGATGTAGTGAGCTCCTTATCCAGAAACTACAACTCCCAGGGTTCTGCGCGCTCCCGGGGGGGGGCGGGGCTTCCTGGCAGCGACTCCCGCGAAGACGTGATGGCAGAGGGACCGAGATCTCCGTACCGCTCGCTGTACAAACTTGTGGGTTCCCCGCCTTGGAAAGAAGCCTTCAGGCAGGTGAGTGTGGGGTTTAGGAAGGCTTGGCTGGGCGGTCGTCACTACCCCGGTCCGTCCCAGGAGCCGCTCTACTTGTCTTCACCTCAGCTCAACGGGTGAGGCAGGTGCCGGGAGTTCCTGGCCGGCGAAGATGTGCCTGGAACCCAGGCCTCCCGCCTGTGTTTCTGGGTCTTGGCCAGTACCCGGCAGCCTCCCGGAGTTTCGGAACCCTAGGGTGTGGGATTAGCCCGGGCCGTCCGAATTCCCCCGAAACCTTCATTTTGGATTAAGGTTTGTTTTAAATTGAAGTGTGGTCATGACCTCACCTCCGGCGCCTCTTCAGTGACCACCACCCCCTGCTGTTGTTGGGTAAGTGGGCAGCGAAAGAGGCACTTTGTGTACTTATCTCCTGAGAGAGAGAAATTATTTCTGTTCCGGAGAGGAATAGGGTAATTAGAAATTATATATAATTCTGGAAATCATTCCAAACTCCTTTGAGCCTCAGTTACTAAGTCTGAGCAGAGTGGTACCCTACCTCACTTCTGACCTATTCTGAACCAATGGCCGACCTTTCCAGGAATGTCTAAAGTAGTCCATGTAGCCCGCTTAAATAATCTGATGCTGTAAATGACTGTTGACTGCAGGGTTTTTCAACTTGGGCTGTTGACATGTTGAGGAAGATAGGTTTTTGCTGTGGGGAGGGGACTGTCCTGTGCATTACAGGGGGTTTTGCAGCATCCCTGGCCTCCACCCACTAGTTGCCAGTAGCCCTACAACTAGAGTTGTGACAACCAAAAATGTCTTCAAGCATTGCCAAATGTCCCCCCAGGGACAAAATCACCCCAAGTTGAGAAATATTATACTACAGGAAGGTAGCCACCACAGCCTTATTTAGAGTGGCAAGAATTTGGCAGCAACCTAAATGTCCTGTAATAGCAGGGTGATGCTGAGCTATAGTCACCCAACCACTAAGCGAGCTGGCATTGAAGATAGCTTATGAAATATGCTGATGTGGAAATACGTGAACAAAGCGTTGAAACTTATCTACATGTGGGAAAGGACTGGAGAAGAATATGCAAAAAAACAGTAGTTAGGATTATAGTTGAAATTGCATCTTTAAATTTCCTTTAATGTTTTAGCAACTAATCTAAGAATCTTTTTTTTAATGGAATTCACCTTTTTATGTTTTGTTTTTTGTTTTTTTCCTTCTTCCAAGGGATGCCTGGAGAGAATGAGAAACAGCCGGGACAGGCTCCTGAACAAATACCGCCAAGCTGGAGGCAATATGCCAGGGAGAGGTCAGAACACCCTGCTAGTGCAAGAGGTGATGGAAGAAGAGTGGAACGCTTTAAAGCACTTGGAGGAGAGGTGTCCAGAGGTCATGGCTCAGGTCGGGCTGGGATATTTGTTTTCAGAGACGGTGCTACAGCACCAAGAATGCCTTGTGTCCATTGTACTTATTTTCCCAAATCCTCTAAATCCATCTACCCACTGGCCCAATCAGGATTCTAATTGCGTTTAACCGAAGTTCTTCCACCTTTAATGTTAGACTTTTCTAGACTAGTGTTTCATAAATACCAGACTGTTTGACCTGCTACATCATTGCATCAGAATCACTTAGGAAACTAAAAAGAAAGAAATTTCACTCCTTGGCTCCACCCATGGATTATTTTTGATTCAGTATGAATGGGCTAGAATCTCTCTTTTCAAAGAGGTCTCCAGGAGCTTTCTGATTCTAATCTCAGCTAGAGTGACAAGCTGGGTGTGAATGGGCAACCTTTTACTATGGATCAGGAAGAGTACTGGATCCATAGTGCTGGAATTCTGTTCCTGGTTTTGCTATTGACTCAACTTGTTTCTTTGAGATTTAGTTTTCACATTTTTAAGATGAAGAAGATAACATTGTCAGCCTTGTAAGGACAATATAAGAACATTTGTGGGAAACTACTTTGAAAACATCAAGGCTCTCTGTAATAATATGCATTATTTGGTGCCTTGTGTGTCCGAAAGTATGCCATATGTTTGAGCTACATAATCACAGTTAATTCTCACAATATCCCTCTCAGGTTGGGTTTTTTCCACCTCACAGAGGCCCAAATTGAGGTTTACAGAGGTTGGGAACTTTCCAGTGGTTACATAGCTTTAGCAGAACCATATACTAGCTGCTACCCTATACTGCCTCCCTCAAATTTAGTGTCATTATTTTGTCACGGGCCACTCAGCATGCCCACATTACTACATTGTCAGCATATCCTGCAGAAGGGCTGGACTGATTTCCTCTGTTAATCTGGGTCCTTCAAGCTAGCCTCCAAGTATGAGTCATTGTGGAGCTTTTCATCTGACTGTAAACTTCAAACCTCTGATGATCCCACTTTTTCTTGCAGTTGGAGGAGCCAGTGGACTTGGCTGTGCTGGAGGAGATCCAACAGGAGCTGATTGACCAAGGTGACCTCTGGGAGTAGTCTTTCCTGCCTACAGCTAGCTACTTCTAAGCCTGACCTTTTTTCTAAGCAGAATTAGTTTTTAGCTGCCCTTCCTCTACTGCTGTCATGAGTCGAGTGTCCAGAAATCTCTGTTTTTACTCTGAAGTCTTGGCTGTCTGTCTTTCCAGTAATTAGAATCTTCAGTGTGCTAGAATTTGTGCTCAGACTTCTCATTCTATGCTCTTGTTTTCTTCTTATGACTGCCCTAACAAGGTAGTATGAAATAGAAAAGAGTGTATCTTACACTGTTTGCATAGCTAGTGGTAGAATTGGGAAGCAAAATCAGTTTTGTAAATCTAATTCTACTTACTGTTTCCTACATTACCTTTCTATTAATAGATTAATTGTAATCGTGTCACTTTACAGGGACAATTCATGATCAGTTCTCCTGTACGACCTAATTTAATGCCTTCTCTCCCATCCATTCTTAACCAATTCCCAGGGCCTTGTGAGCACCCACTTGCTGAGGCATCCATAGCATCATAGAGTGCATAATTGAGCACCTTATATAATGAAGTCATTTATTCCACATATCCCTCTCTTGACTAGGTTTAATTTTTATCATTTGTAAAATAGAGATAATAGGCCTACCCCATAAGTGTGTTTGTAGGCTTAAATAATACATGTAGAGGAGAGCAGCACTTGGCTTATAGATAGCTTGCAGTACGTGATATCCATTATCATGAGGAGGCCAGGGCATGGACTCAGCTGAACTAAGATTCACTACTTGTGTGGCATTGGGCACAGCCCTCAATCTCCTGGGCCTCTGTTTCTTTACCTTTAAAAGAAGGATAATAATAGCAAAGAAGTTAATAAATATAAAGGACAGAAAATAACATCCGATACACAGTAAGTACTCCGCAAGTGTTAGCAGTTGTTGTGATTGGTGTTACTGACTCCAGTTAGACTGCAGATTCCTTGATTTATGTTACCTTTTTGTACTGATTCACCCTTCAACCTCACCTACAAAACCTATCTTAGTGGTGAAACATAGGACTTGCTAAATATTTCTTCTGGGGTATATTTAACTACAAAACCTAAGATGATAAGGATTTATTGTGTTCTCCCATACTCAGTCAAAAGGAATACTCCAGAATAGGGGTTGGCAAACTTTTTGTGAAAGGCCAGATAGTAAATATTTGAGGCTCTGTAGTCTATACTGTCTCTGTTGCAACTACTCAGTTCTGCTGCTGCTATGTGAAAACAGCCATGGACAATACATAAACAAATGAGCATGGCTATGTTCCAGTATAACTTTATTTAAAAAACAGAGGGTGGGCTGTATATGGCCAGTGGTTTGCTGACCTCAGCTCTAAAGTGTAAATTGGGAGCTCATCAAAAGCAGGGACCAGTGTATGGGCATTGGCGAAGAGACCACTTTAGACTCGGTCTGTGGTCTGGTGTCAGAACTACATGCCCTGTAAGTGTCAGCTTTCTCCAGCTGCCCCTGGGACTCTAACACTCCATCTCTACTCCTATGGCCTCCAGAGATGTGAGGGAAAGTTGACTGTCTTAGCTTTACCACTTCACCTCTTGTTCTCACAAGGAGAGGACAGACAGGAGGAGAGGGATCCAAAAAGATGAAGCTTGGCAGAGCTAGTGATTGGCAGCATGATTTTGCCTGAATTCGAATGTGAAGTTTTGCCTTAAGATGGGGCAGTCCAGGCAAAGCATGGCGAAGCACTCCCAACTGTCCTTTGCCTTTCAGAACAGTCCATCATCAATGAGTATGAGAAGAGCACGCAGTTCGATGAAAAGTGTCTCAGCATCATACTGGCTGAGTGGGAAGCAAACTCCCTCATCTGTCCTGTCTGTACAAAGTAAGAGTTTTCAAAACCTTTTAAGCATTACTGGTTCCTACTCCCCACTCCAAGGTGAGTGGAATGTTCCTCCCAGTTTATTGTCTGAAAAGGTTTGGAGATCCAGGTCTGCTGGCCGTGATGCTCTGGGATCTGTTTCTAGGTACAACCTGAGAGTAACAAGCGGTGTGGTCATGTGTCAGTGTGGCCTCTATATCCCATCTCATGTAAGTGTTCCACACACAGATTTTGTGTCACCTCTTCCCACATGTATCTGCTTTCTTAAAGAATCTTCGTGGTGTGCTGGAGCTGATTGTGCACATCTCTTCCCAAACTTTTGCTCAATTGATACTCATAGCTTGAAATCAGCCATAGGTATATGTGCAACATGGAAATAGGAAAGCACTACAAATAAGGGTGTTCTTTGCCCACCTGCCCATAATGTATTATTACTGAACATTTATTAACATACCACTGCTTAAGAGCTTTATAGAGTCCAGTTTAGAATAAGAAATACTTATATCTGATGATCTATTAAAAAAATCCATATGCAGAGACACATCTATATTCAGAGTTAAAGCTTCAGGGATCTTAAACTACAGAAGGAGCTCTCTTGTCTGACATGATTGGGACTGAAAGTTTGCCAGTGGTTAAAGTGGAAAATTATAAAAATGAAACATTTATAGTTAGTTTCAAACATAAATTTGTTTGTCAGGCCTTAAGCGGGACTCTACTGATTGGACAGCTGAGTCTGTGTTATGTAAGTCATCTGTATGTTGCAGAATTTAGAGTTTCCAGTTTTATTTCTGTAAACTGCATCAGAAGCTGAGCCCACAACTTTGGATTTTTTCCTCCTATCTTTTGCCTATCAACAACTTTTTTTTGCTTTTAAGCAACCCATCCTTTTGAGTTTCTCATGAACATTCCACTGTTCATCATAAAAACAAAACTTTATTTTTATTCCCTTCCCTTATTGCTTTACACATACATAATTAAATTACTTGATTACAATAGCCAGTTCAGTTAGCACAAACAGTTCTGGGACTAAGAAGTGCTGGCTCTTGGTAAGGACTGCAGAAGGATGCCAAGAAGGATTGCTCTTGGCAGAGGCAGAAGCATAGGGAGGCTGGAAAGCCTACTGGCTCTGAGTGTTCCTGGTGCCATGATCAGCAGTCAGTGTGTTTTATAGCAGGATTGGAAAGCATCAGTTCATCTGGAGAGTCCGGTAGAGTTTGGTTAAGGGATCTTAGCACAATCACGAGCCAAGACTGTTCTGAAAGGTCCAGGGATTCAAGCCCTCAGAGTGAGCCACATATTGGCTGGCATGAGGAATCAGAATTTTCAAACTATTGACTGTGAGATAACCAAGATTAAGTTGTGGTTGAACTTTTAAATTTTTTAGTCTCCAGAGTTGACAGAGCAAAAGCTTCGTGCTTTTCTAGAGGACAGCGTGAATGAGCACAGTGCACATTGTCCCCACACACCTGAATTTTCAGTCACTGAAGGGACAGAAGAAAAGCCCACTCTTCTCATGAGCTGTCTGGTAAGCTGCCTGTGGGACCCACTGGTTAGAGTGGGTCAGCGGTTGGTTTTATTCCCACTTTGGTAGAAATAATAGAAGTTGGTAAATGTTTAAAAATGCAGTTTATTCTCTAAGGAATTTACTTGAATAGAAAGTGAAGATACTTAGACACTTCAGCTAAAAGACCAATCACAACCTGGAAGGCGAGGGACAGAGGCAGCACAGGGTCGTGGGAGGAGCATTGGTCTGGAACTAGGAAGCTTAGCTGCACCCCAACTCTTGTTTGATGAGCAGCAGTTGTCTTAGATTCATCTGAGTTTTTCATATTCATAAGATTCAAATAGGCCATCCTGGCACCAGTTTTGTAGAAGCACACAGGACAGGAAGCACAGCAGGGCAATAGCAGGCGTGTCGGTTCAGTGAGAATCTGTACAGAGTACCAAGCGCTGGTCTCTAGGCCTGTATGTGACAGCTCAGGTGTGAAGGACCAGGACCACACAGGTGGATCTGGAGCCACCCTGGCTTAGAAGCCTTAAGCTTGCTATAGGAGCCAGTATCTCATATAATTATGGGTATAGCTTCCAGGTCGCAAGCAAGGGGAAGTTTGGGATTATTAGCACACTGCATTTCAGGAAGTCCAAAACTATGGCTTCCTGGTAGGTATTTATAGTTCAGTCATGGCTGTCTCATCCCAAATACAGTTTACCTGTAGGAGTTATGTATATTATAAGCAATATTGCTAGTAATACAACTAACATTTCACTTTCATCAAGTTTTCTCCATGAGCTATTTAATTCTGCCCTTTCATTTAAAAAAGTGTACTGAGTACTCAAATGCAAAAATACACATCCTCTCCCAGAGCTCAAGTTCAGGGTCAGTGATAAGAGAAGAATACAGAAAACAGGTAGTAATCCTCCAGTAAGGGGGAGGGCCTGTGGGAATTCACGGGAGGTGATCTCATTTATGGATGCGGGCTTTCTGAAGAAAGCATTTATCCTCGGCCTTGAAGTGTGGACTAGGATTTAGACATGTAGATATGAGTTGGGGGAAGAGCTTTAGTGGAAGAGTGTCAGGTAGAAGAACAAGGTAGAGGCAGAAAATTGTGGCGTCTGTGTGCAGAGCAGCACGTTCTGCTTAGCTGGAGTGGCAGGCCTGTGAGGGAGAGGAGAGCTGTGATCTGACGAGGTCAGTATCCCTGCAAATGGGGATGAGGTGAGTCAGAAGCAGCATGTAAGGGGCTGTCCCAGTGCTCCAGAAGTGAGGGGGTCTTGAACTTAGGCAGGGACAGTGGGGGTTGTGGGGGTGGGAGGAATATGAGAAGCTCAGAAAGTGGATCGATGAAATTCTGCATCTGTGGAGGTCAGGGTGGAGGGATCAAAGAAGATGCGAGGTTTGGGGGCTGGGTGATCAGGCAGTGGTGGGGCTGTCCGTAGACCAGGTTCGTACTTGGGAGTTCAACTGTGGACACACTGAGTTTGCGTTTTCTGTGAGATGTCCAGGCTTTGGTGCTGTCAGGAATGTGGGAATGGGGCTGAGGGAGGGATAGGTGTAGAAGTGGGTTGCTTCTGTTTGGTGCTGAAAGTGAGGTGATGCCACCAGAGGAGGCTTGTAGAGAAGGCGAACAGTGTAGTCTTGGACACTGCCTACATTTCAGGAGCAGGGGAAGAGTGGAGCCTTAGTGGAGACGAAATAACAGAGGCCAGAGAACAGAAGCATGGGAGCTGTGGAAACTTCCAGAAGGAAGGAGTCACGGGAGCAACACTCACCATAGAGGTTGAAGGGGACATTAGTAACCTTATGTAGATGGTTTTGGTGAAGTTAAAGGCTCAGGTAGCTACTAACCTGATTCCAATTTTAGGAATTTGAGTGAGTAGGGAGCCAGGAAGTAGAAATAGTAACTGTAGAATAGTTTTTTTTTTTAAAGAAATTTAGAGATGGAGAAGAGGAAAGATATTAACTTGGCTTTTAAGAAGAACGAGTACATTTGTAAACTGAGGAAGAATCACTGGAGGGGTCGGGGTGGGGGTCAGTTAACTGGGGAAACAAGGACCTGGAGGGGATGAGGTGGGGGGGCAGTGGACTGCTCACTGAACTCGTAACTGTGTGGCAAGTGTTCTACATCCATCATCTCATCTCCTCATGAGGTGGGTGTTGCCATTGGTAGGAACAGGAAACAGATTCAGATAAGTGATTTGGCTAAGGTCATACTGCTAAGAGAAGGTCAAGCTGGTGAGCCCAGGTTTCAGAGGTTCCAGCACCCCTGTGATTTTTGCTTCCAGCTCAGGCCTTGGTGGAAGGACAGTTTCCCTTCAGGTTATAGGGAGGAGAGACAGTGGGTGGAAAGTTGACGTAAGACCTGTTACTGCTTCCTGTTGCCTACAGGAGTAAGAACCCCTCTGCTCTGACCACCCAGAACTGCTTGCAGATTCTCAAATGGGCTCCTGCTAGGCTCTTCTGTCTGGGGTGCCTCTAGCTCCTCCCACTCAGTTCAGGGACTATGTGCACAAATGTCTGTTGAGCACCGCTCTGTGCCAGATAATCAGTAAATAAAGCCCCTCTGACTGGAATCGGCCAGGTGCTCCTTGGGCTCCTCTGTGCCCGTGCCATCCCTGTGACACTGATCTAGTTCCCTGCTCCCATCTCTGCCCTGGGGGCAAGGGCCGTAGCTTCAGTTTCACTCTCCATCCTTGGCACACAAGCAGATGTTAACACATTCGTAGAAATGATTTGAGGCAGAGTTGAAGGCGCGTGGGTCGGGTGGCTTCAGCTTCTGCCTTCTTAGGTGAGTGAACCATCCGCAGAGCGTGGTGGGTGATTTTAAAGAGGAAACGAAGGGTTACCTAGGTGCTGTCAGCTGCAGCTACAGCTTACAGCTGTCATGGACCCCAGATGTCTGCTCACCTGACCTTCAGTGCCCTGCAGCTCAGGGAAGCCAAGTGGAGGCCAGTGCGATGGGAGACACCAGCAGTTGTAGGGATAGGAGTTGGTGAGGCTGGCTTCAGGGTGAACAGAGAGACCATTGTTGGGGGTGGGGGTTGGGGGCCACAGCAAAGATGAGCAACAGAAGTGCAAAGGACAAAATTACGCTCAGTAGGCGATCCCAGAGTTCGCCATTTGGAGAGGTCAGTCATTTGGAATGCTCTGGAGCTCCAGTATCACTAGACCTCTGGTTTCCCTTAAGGGGGAATCAAGGACCGTTGTTTGGGTTCATGATCCAGTGAGGTCAGGCTGTAGGGTGATTCTGTGTGGGTGTGGAGGCCATGGTAGAGAAAGATAGGCATGGGTTATTAGGAGGTGGTTATAGCCACAAGGACCTGGAACATTTGATATGAGGGACAGTGGTCTAGGGATGGCACAGGGATGCAATGTGCCAGACCACCAGAAAGCCAATTACGTATGGAAGTGGAGCCAGGGTTAAGGACAGTGTATCTTTGCATTAATGGTCAGTCTGAGCTTTCAAGGAAGCAAGAGCCAGCTTTACACTAAGGTGCTTGCTTGGTTACATTAGGGGGAACTGAGGAAAGTATGAGAAGCAACGGGCCTCCAAGTTCTGATTTGGCCTGTAGTGAACACGCACGGTCCACATCTATGACACCTGCCTATTTCAATCCTGTGCTAAGTGGAAGTCAGCTCACCTCCCTGCTGCGCTGTAAAAGCTGCCAGCTGTCAAGCTTGAATCAGCCTCTGGTGGCCGGTTTCCGGAGGGTGAGGACATTTAGTTAGTCCGTATCCAGGACTTATGTCAGCTTGAAGACGGTGCTGCTGCTGGCTTCAGAAGCAGTTTGGAGGCTGCAGGACAGACGTGCAGCACAGTCGAGAGCAGGGCTGGGCCACAGCTTTGGGACAACTACAGCACCGGACCTAGTTCGTAATGATGATTAACTCAGCATCACCTCACTGGTGGGAATTCTAGTTGCAGCCTAAATGTCATTACTGATTACAGCTTTTAACCACAAATGGAGATAATCTGCATGACTAGAATACAGTTTGGTACCTTTTCTTTCCAAATGCAGGCTTGTGATACCTGGGCAGTGGTCCTCTAGAGCAACCCTGACTCCGCCTGCTCACTGTGTCGGAAACTTCCTGGTCCATCTGGGAGGCCTTGTAAATACCAAGCTTTTATTTATGACTTGCTTTGTATGAAAACTTGTCAAATGTCTCTGCTCTTGGTGTTTTGTGGGGAAGGAATATAAATAGACAAATCACCTTGGAGGAGATGAGCCAATTTTATTGTCCATCGTTATGATGTTATTGAAAAATCTAGGCATAGATTTATAGAGAAGAAATAAATGATAGTAAGAGGGAAACATAATTTAAGTTGGAATTATTTTCCATGATACTAGGATGAAAACCATTTCAAAGCACATCTGTCTAGCTTCAGAGGAGGTTTTGTTCACTGGCCAAAGGCTGGCACAAAATTAAGGAGTTCAGTGCCTTGTCTGCTCTACTGGCTCTTGACAAAACCTTTGAGGTCTTCAAGAAAAGTAATATACTCCTGGTGCTCCAGGGCTGTGCTGAGCTCCACCAATTCATCCGCAAAGGTGTTGTCCACCCCTCGGTCCGCAAGGAAATCCATCAGGTGGTCATATAAGGCCTAGAAAGAGAAACACTAGTTTTAAAGCAACCACAAAGCTTCATGTGAAATACTTACTAATTAAAATGCTTCTCTGCCTCTCCTGTGACTACTAGGATCCTCCCCTGTAAGGCCCAACAGCACCCCATCTCAGCAAGCACTCACCCAGTCCAGGGAATCTGTGTTGAGTGTGTAATTTGTGTCCTTCCATTCAGACTCTCCAGTGGACTGAAAGCTCACTTCTCTGATAGAGAAAATGTCATTCTCATCTTCCTCTTGTTCAACCTGAGAAGAGACAGAATTGGGGGGGAACTGAAGGGTTTGCTGGGACACGCCAGACTCCTGAATAAGAGGGACTACTTACAGTGTGAAGCTTACCAGATTCTAACCTTGCTCGCTCACCCTACACTCCCTTCCCGCTTTGCTGGTCTAAGCTAGAAAATGTTAGTATCTACTGAACGGGACCAGGAAGGTGCCCAAGGGGGGCAGCACTCCACGCTACATACCTCATCTTCTGGGTAGTGACAATCCAGCACAAGGGCCTTCTTGCCACCATCCTTTGTAACTTCAACCACGAAATTGGGAGTGGATGTTAATTCAGGCTGGGGAAACAAGAAAAGTCAGTACATACCACTGTTGCTGGCTTGGCTGCCTGGACCAAAGATTTCAGACAGTTCAGGAGGTCTGACGGCCACCACTGTTACGATATTACTCAGCAATTTTTAAACTCTTATGTCATAGTGCTCCCAAATAAGGAGCCCAGAATCGTTAACGCAGAGCATTATAGATACACCCGCTCGTTCAGGAGCCTGGCCTAAACTCTCGCTGCTCATCCTTTCTAGAGTTACAGACCATACTTTAGAGGGCAGAGCAACACTCAGTACAGTCTTTCACTTCTGTTAGTGCTCTACTTGTGTAAAGAATATACTGTGTTTAGAACGAAGAAATCTGAATTCCAGCTCCAGCTATGTGCCAACTAACTGAATCTTCCTGGGCCTGTTTCTCCATCTATACACTGCAAGGCTGGCCTTAACTCCAGAATCTCTTTGTAGCTCATTGTTTCAGGATCTTCCTTTATTATTTGTGGCACAGGATCAAAGGCCAGTGCATCTGGCTCACTGGCCATCCTAATGGCTGAATAATCACAGCAACTTGTCCTTCAATGACATGGTGAGCCATCCAGTGTCAGAGATACTAGCTGGAGTAGCTGACACAGAAGCACACCAGGGAGCTGAGCGTTCTGCTAGGTCAGGAGACAGTACCAATGCCTTTAGTCAGAAAGCCTGGGGGCACTGAGACCCTCACGTTGGCTTTCTAGGTCAGTCACACTGCTTCCTGAAATGTTTGAAGATGGGGCACATCCAGGTCCAACCAAGGGGGTGAGCAACCTAAGGAAAGGCCTTGCTAACACCTGTTAAAAACTAGGTGGTCCTGGCTTTGCCACTTTGGTTAAGTAGCTGGTATTTGTTACTAGCCTGTGATGTGTGCGAACATTCCTTACTTGGAAACAATTCAAGTGATAATCTCTGGTATCAAACATTTCCCAATCACTGGAAGGGTTAGGACAGTTTTAATTCCTTTCTATTAAGAAAACACAGGCCAAACTATCAAGTCTAAACCTGCAGATGGCAATTTACTTGGTCCCTGGGAAAGAAAAGGGGCCACACCATTCTGGTGCTAAAGCTGGCCAGAAACTGCTGCTCTGCAAGTCAAGTCCCAAGGACCTTGTCCTTTTGCCTTCTTTCCTTCTAACATTAGGGGAATTAAGAAAGGAAAACAATGTTTCTCCTTTAAACCCCTGGTCTACCTGTCAGAACTCTGAGCTTACCTCCTGCTCTTCAACCTTCTGCCCTTGGGAAGGCTCCTCCTCCCCATCGTATGTTGGTGGGATGCTATTGTTAATGTTGAAGGTGACAGTGACCCTACAAAGGTAAAAGAACAGCCTGGTGTAGTTTTGGCTGAGTAACTAAGTGCTGAGGCCCAGAACAGTTAAAAATGCTGACTGAAACAATGTCTACATCTCAGCTGGCTCTCTCTATATATATCCTACCTATTTACATAACTTCCACAAAAGCCGAGTGCCTACACCCCACTTCAAGACAAGGATTCCACAGGTCTGCAGTGTGCCTACCACGTGCCAGCTGCTGGAAGTCAAACTAACAGACCCTAGTTTATCTCAGGCAAAGAGAAATTATGTGTGGGCTCCTGTCATCAGGCCAGCAGCCCAGGGCTCACAGTCTGCTGAAACTGCCCCACCTTGTCTTTCCAAGGGCACTCCAAATGATGGTGAGCCACCGAGAAGCTGGTGGGATGGAAGAAAAGCTGCCATTAAAAGCTTTTCTGTTAGAAAATCTGCCCCTAGGAGGAAGTACAAAAGCACAGTAGGGCTGCTGCATAAGCTGAGGGCCAGAAGCAACCCCCACCTAGGAAGGGGGAGGCCTCAAAATGAACAGTATGCTGCAGTGGTCTTCAGAGTAGTTGTGGGAAGTTTTATAATCACAAAGAAGGCCTGAAACACCAACTACTAACAATTTTAAGAGGCAAGAATCCTCACCTGACAAATCAAGTTCCAAAGTCTGAATCGAAATTCCAGGGAGGGGAGATTTGGAACTAGCCCCGTGGGACTGCACAACTCCAGCAGGTCCTACAGCAAGTGGTCACTGCTGCTCTCTGCAGCTCTGTGAACTGGCTGACTTTCCCATAGAATAATGGTGGTTTGAGATTCAGTTACAAAATCTCTCTCATCTGCAACAGTGCTGACCAAGCTGAGTTCCCGGGCACATCCATTAGGACCTTATTTATAATGGCCCAAACTGACTAGGAAAAGTTCAGGTGAGATTACGAAGTGCACAATTGACCTCTGTAGAGGGGGAAAAAAAAATTCCACTAGGCAAAAAGAATCAGACCAGTACTTCACAACATACAGAGAAGTTCACTCAAAATGGATCACAGACTCAAACAGCCAAAGTAGGTCACAGCTCCGCACCTTCTAATGGCAATGCTTATTATACTGTAACCCCAAACTGTTATGTAGGACTTATGTGCCTTGCACTTATGTTCACCTGCTGTAAACATCAGAGAGCAGGGACCTTATTTTACTCGGCCATAGCCTGTACTGTACCAAGTCAGTACTGTGAACCTAAGATCAAATCAATTCTGTGGGTACTTTAAGGATTTCTGCCTTTGCATGCCTTTATTCACGCAGGGCGTGGCCTCACTCACCAGTCTGGGGTTTACTCAATGACTGCCTCCACTGGTTCAAGAACACCAGCTGCATAATTTTTGTGCTACTTCTTTACCATCTCTTTATTAACCAGCCCACAGCTATCCTGAATTCATCCAGTCAATAAATACCTGGAGCTTATGAAGCTATCCAAATGAATCCTGTCTTTTGGAAACCACGTGTCAAAAGTATCTTCCCTAACTAAAGGCTGTTCTGGGATGATGTATTTTAGTCCCCTGGAGCCCACAGGCCCCCCATACTTACTTTTCTCCAGCAACTTTCCGCACTAATTTGGCTTCTGTCCCATTCAATTCCAGCTCCCAATCTCCAGACATCTTGGGGAGGGACTTATGCTTCTGTAGCTTCTTTTCCTCCTTAATCTCATCACTGAGGAATTCAACAAAAGCTTTGTCCCCTACAATAAAAATCCGTAAGATACAGAAAAAGAGCCAATCAATCTACAACGTAAAAATGACCAGGTTACTGTACCCAAAAATCTGGTCTGGGACTGTTTCTAATACTTATGCTGTTAACGGTGGCTCCGGAAAATTTAGTCCAATTCACATCCATTACCCTGTTTCCTAATTTGTAAAAATGCTATTAAGACGCAGAGCTCGATTCTGGAAAAGTGACTTGCACCAATAACTTTATTACCACATTTCACTGTAAAACAAGCCAGCAGACATAACCACGCTACTTTTGAACACGATCTTGGGTCTTCCCCAAGTTCTGTTTTCAAGAAACTGAGGATAAGGCCGGCCGCCGGGATTTAATTGTTGTATGTCTTTCCCCAAACAAAAACATTTAGGGAATGTACTAGGGAAATGTGATCACCAGTGGGTTGAACTCGCTGGTTGTTAAAAGGGAAAATGTTCCGGACCTCGGGAGACGGCTGAAGGCAGTCTACCTGTGGTCCACGCTTCCTCGCCCCGGGCCCCCACGCCACCCAGGGGCCTCCCCTCACGGCCCCGGCCCACGTGCGCCAGCCTCACCTTGGGTGTGTAGCGCGTCGCAGCCGCAGCCGCAGGGCGCGCGAGTCCGCAGTAGCCCGGGCCGCCGCGCCGAGCCTGCACGCACGCTGAGCAGCCCGAAAGGCCGGGCACAAGGCCGGGGCGCGGGCTGCAGCAGCTGCCGAAGCTGCGTGGAGAGCGCGGTAGCACGGAGGCCTGCGACTGCCGAGCCCAGGGCGCGGGGCGCGCAGCGCAGCAGAGGAAGCATCGCTGCAGCGGAGGCGGCAGACACGTGCGGATGCAAGGACGACTCGAGCCCGGGAGCCCCCTGACCTAGCGTACAGCCGGAAGTCCCGCCCCCTCCGGGTAACGCTTCCGCGCCGGCGCTTTGCAGACCGTAGGAATCGTGGGCAGGACTACGACCTCTGCTGCTCCTGCTGCTGCTGCTGCTGGTGGTCGAGTGTAGTTGTCTGCTGTCCGAGCTGGCCTAAACCTGGTGTCCAAGGCTTTCTGTTTACCTGCCAGCATCAGCTCTCTCCAGCTGCCTACTGCCTAAATTCCCATCTACTGTTCTCAAAGCACACCAAGCTTTCTATGACTTAGTGGAAATGTGCTCTTGTTGCCTCAACTCCCAAACACTGCCATCTACCTTAAGTGGCCTTCCGGGTTCCACTCTTCCAGGAAAGAGAAACACACCTGTGTGACCCCGCCCCTACGCTGCATTCTTTTCTCAGCAGAAATGTGGCACTTTGGGTTACCCTGTTACAACCTTACCCCCAACCAGATGGGAAGCTCTTGAAGTAGCAAGATCCTTCAGGTTAATTCCTGAGGCCTTCCCTCTACACGCCCTCCAACCTTGCACTCAAGTTCTGGTGAGACATCGTTTTTTGGGGGGCAAGAAGCCATGGCTTATTTAGGTTAAGAGCCAATGTTCCTACCTTACCAAGACACATGGGAATATAAGGTACTAAGAAGGTAAGTCTTCTCAAATTAGCAGCAAAGATAGGACTAACAATGTATCTCAAGCAGCATTTTGTGAATAAGGGAAAGAAGACCCAAGAAAGAAGCCACACACCTTCATGTACCAGATTCATTTTTAATGGATTTGATAGTCATATGCAAATTTGAGTATTATATGCAAGAGCTGATGTTTCTATAGAGCAATGTCTGCCTGTACAAGAACAGACTCAAAATACAACACAAAGCTCAACCAACTTCTTTTTTTCCCTGAAAATTTTAAAATTGTGATCAAATGTAATAAAATGCTTGCTTCCCCACAGATGTAGTCTTTTCTTACATGCTCAAGGAATAATATCTTAGATGCCTGGCCACTTCCAAGCAGTTCTTGATAGCTACATTAAATGGATTTATGCATCACAGTACTTAAGTTTTGCCCACAAAGCAAAAACTTGTCTCCATTCTGGCATCTCTTTACAACTAGCACAGATGCAACATTAAGTAAGGGTTTTGACCAGGGACTGGGTATTGACAGCTCTTCCCCTTGTAAGGAAATCTGTCTTTCTCTGGATGTTTCACACTACATGATTACTAGCTAGCACCAGACAGCTGAGGCATGTGATCTGCTTGGAACGCATCTCCAATGCATTCCAAGAATGCATTCCATGAAGCCGCACACAGTAGTTAGTGATTCGCTCAGATACGGATTTCACAGGTTGGAGGTGTCACACCACAGAGATATTACCAATTGAAAAAGAGTAGCTCAAAATTACACTGCAACGTCATTATGAAACACTTAACTTTCTTAATAAAGTACTACCCTTTGCAGCTCAATATAACCATTTATATTTTTATAGGACTACGTAGAGTCAGAATGGGTTTTCCCATTTTCCCATCTGATTTAATCCCTGAGCAGCTATGTTAAAAACTTAACTTTTTAAAAAGCCCAATAAAAAACTACTGTATTAAAACTCTACCAGAATGTTACAGTGATAAACATATTTTCATAAACATTAAAATTACTTAGAAGCTATTTAAATTTACTTAGGAGCTATTTATCCCTAACTTCTGCTCAGAAATAAATATACATTTCTAGAAACTCTTCAGGTACTTAAGCAAGTTAAAAATTATTCCAAGTTAAGTTTTACTTGCCCCTAGATAGAAAATTTGCTGAAGAATATAATAAATCAACCCATTCCCAGTTTTTTACCAGCATGATAAATGTTTTATTAAAAACACAGTATTTTCATTTACCACCTCAGGCTAACCATCCTAAGCCTTTATTAAATAAATGCAGAAAATACACAAAATTTTTTCTGAAAAACTTTTCAGGAAATCAGCCATGGTAAGAACAAGTCAATCTGAGAAAGAGTCAGCTAAAATTCTAAGAATTCAGTAAGATAGGACACATAGGAACAGTCAAGTCCTGCTTGATCTAAATGTTAGTATTTCTAACAGAAATAAATCCCAAGTGCCAGGCAAACTTGAACATGGCTAGAGTGTGGCGGCTGAGGGCCACGGCACGTGCTGGAAAGCCTGAGCCTTAACACACAGGCGCGGACAGATGAGACACGGGATGGGGGTGCTCCATAGGTTACCATCTCAGAGAAGGGCTGGCTGGACCCAGAGTGAAAAGGCTGCCCACTGTCTGAAGAGGATTCCTGCTTATAAACTACATGATCCACGTTGTAAGTAATGACAGTAATTCTGCACACCTGTGTCAGACCAATTATGGACACAAAAGGGCTGAATCTTAGCTGCTTCTAAGGCAAAAATGCTCTGGGGAAAGATCATTTGCTTTTGATAATTAAATGGCTAAGAAGAACCTTTGGTGTCTTTCCCTTCTCAGAATATGAGAACAGGAAGACTGTGGGACCCTCTAATTCCCTCTGACAAATGTGGAAACTGAGGGCTAGAGAAGGGTGACTGGCACAGTTATGAAGTAGCAAAGCCAGGTTGTTCCCAAGCCCAGAAAGGAAAAAAGGTCATAGAAAGCAAGTAAGATGCAAGAATATAAACAGCAGAGGTGGATGAGACAGGCCAGTGCCATCTGGGTCCTCACCCATCTGTCTCTCCCCTCTGCACACCCCAACAGCTGTGCTTAGGTGAGTCTGCGTGCCCACTGAGAGAGATGGCTACTGGACACAGCAGAAGCCATCACTCTACGGGGTCAGTTTCCTGCTTATCCCTGACATCACTCAGAGGCTACAAACTGACCTTCGCCAAGGGCATTTCCACGTCTCCTGAAGGCAGAGAGCAGTACTGAGGCAAAAGGGACATGGCTGAGTGGCCTGCGAGCACTCCCTTGCTGCTCTCTGCTTGGAGGCAGCAAGAGAAGGGTCCACCACTGGGAAATGGGGTTCAGTGGGGCAGGCAGCCCCCTAGGTCAGAGACAACACCTCCTTCCTCAGACTTCCACAGAAGTCAGTCCCTTATGTTTTCTATTGAAAAACTTTATACAGATAGATGTTAAAAAGATCTGAGGACACCACCTGAGCTCGGTGACCTCCAAGGTCTTCTTTCAGAAAATCACCCTTAGTCCTGAGGACTCAGGGGCTACTGTACTCAGGTCGCATCCCGTGGACACAGGAGCACTAGGCTCATGACTCACTGCGCTCATGGCAGGCCAGGCACAGCTCTGTGTACTCTCACTTTCTCCAACCCTCCCACCCCCAGCCTGTAGGTAGTACTATTACCCCCATGTGGCAGGTGAGGAAACTTGAGGCTCAGAGGTTAACTAAGTCACCCAAAAGTTCCCTGGCCAGAACTGAAAGCATTCGTTTGAAGTTTCCAGGGTACACACAGCATGTACACGTCTACGTAGTTCAGCCTCAGGGGTTTAGACACTTTCAAGCCCCACGTTTCGCTACATTAGAACTTGCTGCCCCTGTGGGTCCCAGCCTGGGGGTTGCTAGGAGGGCGGTGTCCCCAGCTCCCAGGCACAGCAGCTCTGACAGCACCTCAGGGGTTCAGTTTCTGGTGGTCCTCAGCTTCCTCCTGAAGTACTCAGGGGCGGCCTCATACAGCCACTCGGCGTCCACGACACAGAGGTCTCGCATGTAGCACTTGTTGGTGTAGAGCAGCTCAGTGTACACGACGCAGGCTGGCTTGCAGTGGAAGAGGACGGACGAGGGGTGGATGGCCACTGGCTGGTGGGTGTCCGTGGTGGCGTAGGTGCCGTCGGCCTGAAGCTCAGCAGTGCTCACGAAGAGGCTGTGAGCCAGGCAGCGGCGGATGTTCCCCGTGTCTCCTCGGGATGACGTGATTGGCATGGACATCTGTTTCAGGAGGAAGTGAGGAAAGGAAAAGGCCCCAAACGTGAACACTCAGCAAGACATAGTATCTGGAGTGACCGCACCTTAAGGGCAGCCCATGCCGCAGCCTAACAGAGTGGATGTTGACGTCGGGAGGCGGTCACTTCAAATGCCTCAGAGATCAGCACTAGGTTGCAGGAGGCACAGCGGGAGGGGGACACACTGAAGACAGGAAAAGTGCAGCCCAGGAAAGTAAGGACAAGGAGACAGTCTGATCAACTGCCAAACCACAGACAGGTTGAGTGACCCAGCATGCCACTGGCTCTTGGGAATATCTACCAGGACATCCCGGGAAGGAAAGGCCTTTCCCTCCCTGATCGTGTCGTCATCTCCTCACTCTGCTCCTCTCACACACTGCTGCCAAATTGATCTTCCTAAAGCACAACTCCAGTCACTCTTCATCATGCAAACTTTCAATATTTCTACTGCTTCTGGCAAAACACCACGGGCTTCCAGGACTGAAGACATGAGGGAGCCTCGGGAGCATGCTATGGGCCTCCAAAATCTCCTGGCTTCTCTTCCCCGAGCCTGTTCCATGACTGTGCCTTCCCAGGAGTGTGCCTGGCAGACATAAGGCCCTTCACGCCGCATGAAGCGTCAGCCACACCTCCCTGCTTCACTCCCCTGCTGAGTGACCCGTGTCTCCTTATACCCCAGGCCACAGCTGAACGGGCTGTGGACCCCTGCCTGACCCATGCATGGCCTGCCTCCCCTCCAGGTATCTGGAGTTGGAACACGAGAAACCTGACTAATCTCGTTGGTCTCTTGAATGGAGAGGCCAGGGAAAGTGATCATTTGTGTGCTGAGGCAGAAGGTGAGAAGAGAGAGAGCTTGCAGAAAGCAGCCAAAATAAGAGGAGAAGCAGCCCAGAGAAAGCTGCCCCGGCTCCTGAGGGTTCTCTATTCCAGTCCTGGTGGGGCTTGACTATTTCCTGCCCGTAGGTTCCCAGAGATACCTTTTATTCCCCCTTTTTCCTTTTAAGAGGGCTCAAAGGGCTTGTTTTTTGCAATCAGCTGATCCTAGCCTGATGAAAACCCTCCTCATCTGTCAAGATAGGGCTCCATGTCACCACCTCCAGGAAGCCCCAGTCTTACAGCTAACTGGGGATTAGCTTCCAGGCTGCCAGCTCTACCATGCACTGACTGTGTGATTTGGGGCAAATTACTTAGCTTCCTTAGGCTCTAGTTTCATCATTTATAAAATCACCTAAAATTTATATAGTAACAGAATCAATCTTAGAGGAGTGAAATGAAGATTTAAATTAAGGCAGTCACATCACAAGTGTTGAGACTGGTGCCTAAGTAAGTGCTTCATGAGCGATAGCGACTGTCACCATCACTGGCTCTCACACGACTCGCCTGTGTATTTCTCCCCTCGACATTGTTCCTTCAGATGCCGAGGCTTAGGCACAGCAATAAAACCCGGACCTTGACCAGGGCCTGCTCAAGAGGCATCATGGGCCACTAAGCCCTCTACATTCAGAACTAATAGAGGAGCACCATTTCTACTGTCAACAATAAATTGACAAAGCTCATGAAGCAAACAGGTGCTCTTACAGGAAAACTGTTCAAGTACAAGAGGGGTTTGGAAAAATGTGTACAATACAGAACACAACAGGCAACTATGAAAAGAAACCACTTTGGCACTAACAACAGGCAGCTGGTGTCAGACACGGGCCTAGGTACAGCTGACAACCATCTCCTCAGAAGGTGTGGCCAGTCTGCACTGAGGGGGCTGTATCAGAAGAGGCTCTGCACACTAAGATATTCTCCACAGACAGCAAATTTAGCAAAAAGTGGACATGATCTCAGTGCTCAACAGCAGAACAATATTTACATGAACTACCCCCACCTCTGAGGTGAAATGTGGAGTGTATTACAGACACTGAATATGCACATGACATCATGTACTCTAAGAGGGTTATAAGCCCAAAGAAAACTTTTTTGTGGGTGATTTGGCAATATGCAACCAAATCTAAATTGCCCATCTAGAAATTCATTCTACATGAACCAGACCACAAATATTTATGTAAAAGAATGGTTGTTATAGCATAATCTAAATGGCTACCATTAGGTGCTTGGTTAAATAAAATGTACTGAACACAATGAAATGTTATGAAGTCACTAAGAAGAATGATAGACATCTACAGACACTGAAAGAACCTAGACACACTAAGAATTCAGTAAGTACACGGAGTGGAAAAAAGCAAGTTAAAAAACAAAATGTATATTGTATTTGTCTTAAGAGAAAATTTTATGTATATATGTATGTGTATATGTACACACTCACCCACACACAGACATACACATAGAAGATTTCTAACAGGATCTACCCCAGTTAACAGTGATTTATCTTTGGAGGGGCAGGACTTAGGGAGACTTTTAAACTTTTTGTATTATATATCACTTTTCTACATTGTATCACACTGTAACAATGAGGCACTGCTCTGTAATCTGAAAACAATAGATAGCCCACAAAAAAAACAAAATCTTAGGAAGAATCTTAATATCATTTCCTCAAATAAAATGCTTTTAAAATTTATAAAAACAATCTAAATTATACACACAATGTAGCTAACTATGTAAATGCATTTAAAAACAGGGCTATTAGGAAACAGACCAAAATGGTGACAGGTAGAACTGTGGGTAACTTTTACCTTATTCCTTATTTAAAAATTTTCCTACAATAAGAGTTTCTTTTGCAATCACTAGCAAAAAGCAATTTAAAACTTCTCACCTAGAAAAAAGTGTTGGCTTAGTCACCCTAGAACACCAGGAAGAAAGAATACCTTTACGCAGATATCCCTCAGCTGTGCTCTGACTTCAGCTACCAGCATCATATTCTTGCTGTTGACAAAATTCTCTTTGCACCAGTCCTGAGGAGAAAAAGAGCCACCGTAATCCTCTCATTTCTCTACAGAAAAAAGTGTGACATAATTTTTAGAACACAGTTGAATTCAGAGGGAAAACTTCACTTGCCAAAAATAAATATAGGAAAATACCTTTTTATCAAAAAGAATAAACCATAACAGAAAATAATAATAATTTAAACTGAAACTAAACATTTCCTTATGTCAATCATCATGAAAAAGTTACAGACTGGGATATTTGCAACATTACACCCAATAAAGGATGATTATCTCCAAAATATGTAAAAACTCCTACAAACCAATAAAAAAATGACCAACAATCAGTAGAAAAACAGACAAAGGATATCAAGAGACAACTCACAGAGATGAACTACAAATGACCAATGAACTTATGCAAGGACTCTCTCAGTCTCTTCAGAAATCATGGTAATGTATTTTAAAATAGGTTATTATTTCAAATCCACTAACTTGGCAAAAATTAGTCATTTCAGCTAAGTGGACAGTGGAAATGGTAACTCTTACAACCTACGATGGGAAGTATATAAAGAGGTGCTGACAAAACTTTGGGGAGCCACATGACAGCCTGGTAAATACAGATGCAGCGACCCCAAGACCAACAGGTCCACTCTTGGGTGTTGGCCCTGGAGAAACTCTTCCCTTTGTGCACGAGGAGGATGTTTACTGCAGTGCTGGAGGCAAAAACAAGCTGCAAAAGGGTAGTGTAAGAAAGCATGTATAGTAAACGATGTTCATGGATATGAAGTGAAAGTAGTGTACTACCACCCAGGGGAAAACAGACCAACCTCAGGACAGTGGTTATGTAAGGGAGGAAGGACTAGGAAAGATCAGGGCTTTTGCTTTATCTATAGCATTTTATTTCCTTAAAAATAAATTAAGGCAAATATAGCAAAATGTTCACAACTACTTAACCTGGGTAGTAGGTTTTTTTAAAAGAATTAACTGCATTAAAATGCAGACAAACTTAAGAATGCATACTATGGCACAATTACTGATTTTTTTCCATGAATTAAAGAATACACAGATATCCTGTGGTTTCTGAAAGTTAGTGTTATGCTACTTCATTTTTAGGAAAGACCTGTGTTAGTACCTGTCCTAAAAACTTGAAGATTTTTGCTCTTACAAAAAAGCCAAAGAACAAAAATAGCATTCAGCAGGATTTTTTTGCTGCAAGCTATTACAGAGGCATGGTGCAGCCAGGGTGGCCTCGTCAAGCTCCTTCCAGGGGAACTGCACTCAGCATCAAGCCATCATAGCTTTGAACTGTGTCTGTGAGTATCTATGCTTTATCTTTATTTATTTTGTACAGTCATTAGCAAGATTTGTCCTAAGATAGCAGAGAAGCCTAAGACAGGTTACTTTTTAGATCTGCGATCACTCAAAAACTCTTCCATATAAATTAATGGTAACTGCTTTTTCTCTTCAGGACATTTCAGCTTACGAAAGATTTCAGAGGAGCACTCTACTTTCAGACAGCGGGGGAACCTGTATTACTACTTTCCATCTTGGTCCAAGCAACTGAAATACCACATAAACAAAAACTACTGTTAATAAAGTTAGAGGCAGGTAGGGGAAAAAATCATGATGTGGCTAAAAAATTAACCAAATACTTAATGAACTTTCCCACATTAAGTATGAGTGAAACACAAACACGGTCAAAGGACAAGATTGCATCTTCCCTGGTTATCACCCTAGAAGCAGATGTTTCTGAAATGACATCTGGCGTTATTCGTAGTTCTTTAGATGATTCAGCCCAAAAGGGAAGGTGCACATAAATCACATGCCTGATTGAGAAAATTAACAAGACAAGGCTTACCTTATTCCCGCCTATGTTTTTGAAAGTCCGGTAGATATTGAGCAGGGTAATGTGATCACCCTCGCTGGATATGAACTTCTTTCGGATACCCTGCACTTCATCCCGCCGGGAGGGAGGGTTGTAGAGAACACTGTCCACGGACAGCAGGGAGACAATGGTCAGTATCTCTTCTGTACAGCGAAATTTGGGGGACAGGAGGATGGTCTGCAAGTCAAAATTAAAAACTATAAATCAAGGTTTTGCCTGGCTTCTGAATACAGTGTTTCCATGTATCACATTTGCAGCTTGCCTTCTAAAGCATTACAAGGCACGTGTTTCTAAAACCATGACTATGTGTTAATGTTATTGTATGCTTTTTAAAACAGATGACTGCCTTCCTACACAATTCCAAACTCCTTATGGGTAGGACGCATGACTTAATACGAGTTTGAAACTCACACAGAACATTAAGTTAGTGTTAGACACAAAGTAAGGGTTGGTGATTAGTCAAGAGAAAAATGAAGATTAATCTAGAAGTACTCAGTTTAGGAGTATACTTTGGGATGGCTAACCTGTAACGTAAAGAAAGGGGACTGAGCAGAGGGTCTCATTTACTTTGGCAAATTTGGGTTCTAAAGGAAAAGCTGCCATTTTTCTTCCGATTGGAGTCAGGGTGAGCTGGTCGTCCTTATGTTCAAGAGCGCCTAACAGGTCCAGCTGGGCAATGGCTGCCTGAACATGATCTAAAGAAACAGAGACATAAAAAGGAGCCAAAAATCTACAAAACGAAGACATTGCAGCTAGCTGTGTACTTTGGGGAGCTTCCAGCAGCTCTACATCAAACCACAGCGAAGATCACAACCACCACTGTACCATGACATACTTTTCAGAGCTGTTATGACATCACTGTTTTCAGTTCAACTCCTTTTTAAAATAATGGTCTGTAATTTGGTTGTGTGGTGTAAATTTTAAATTCAGCACTGTTACACTTAATGAATGACCCACAGATACACTCATACTGTGTGTAGGGCCTGTGTCTCTGAAGGGACACACACAACAATGGAAATGCCAGGTCCCTCATATGCCTCTGGCGAGACATACTTACTGCTTACTTTTTTACATTTTTTGAATTTTGAACCATGTAAATGTATTACCTATTAAAGAATAAAGAAGCATCTCCAAAGGAGTTAATAAATAAATTCATACTGAGAAGAAATAATCTGTAAAGCAATTTGCAAATGTCTCGATCAATAGAATGGATAAATGCATCTTGGTTTATTCACAGAAGGGAAGAGCTTTTAGTAATGAAAATGTACCCAAGCAAATAAACCTTACAAAATATGAAGAATGAAAAGGGAAGGTTACTGAGGAATCAACTCACAGGCATGGAAATTGGAACAATACATTGTTTAGGGACACATGGGCATAGAGTAAAACATTAAAGAAAAGGGAGGGAATTACAAACAAAATACGGGAGGGTGGTTGCCTTGGGGGAGTGGGAAGGAGGTGCATGTAGGAGGGAGGGCCCGGGGGCGTCGAAGGCACTGTGATGGGTGCACACAGGGTTGGTTCTGCTACTCCACCTTACACATACGTTCCCCTTTGCATGGAGGAATTTAACAATTAAAAGAAAAAAATAAAGTATAGAGTGAGGCACAATGTGTGTTACTACTTGTGTTTTTAAAAAGACTATCTACAGTTAAATATGTATAGATTTCTCTAGAAAACAACTGGAAAAATGGTTCTGGTGGTTGCTTTAGGAGAGGGCAACTAAGAATCTGAGGATCAGAGGTGGGACCCTTGTATACTCATTAGTTGTTAACCTTTTTTTTTAACCAATTGCATTTCCTCACTTAAGAGAGAGGGGGAAAAAAGGCAAAGGAAAGGAAAATGGTGTATCAAAGAACTGCCAAGTGCCAAAGATACCATCATTAAGAAGCCAAATTATTTTTCCTTACTCCATGGGAAGATTAGCAGCAAAAGCCAGGAGCTAATCAAATTTCATTTGAAAGCAAAGAAACTTGGTCTGTTCAGTCCTTTTGCTGGCAGACATATAATTTTGTTAGGTTTCTACAGTATCCCACCTACCCCTCATCTATCTTCACTGGCTCCTGTGGTCAAGGAGCCCAACTGTAATTCCTCTATGAAGCCACTGTTTCTGCACCAGGATGTGCCGTAGCACAGAATCTATCCCTTCATGATTCTTAGATCTTCTCTGATAGTTAATGTTATGCAAGTCAAACGAGACAAAAGGAGACCACCAAGGTACTTCTGGAGTCCATCCTTCTGTGTTCCACTACACTAAAGACGCCACTTGCCTGGAGATGGTCTGGACATGAAGTCAAAGGTGAGCACATTTGGGACTTTCATTGCGAGGAGCTGTAGCATCACGCTTGCCAGGTTACACCTGTGAAGAGTACGAGATGCAGGTCATTCATCTGTCCCCAGTTCTCAGCCAGAAAGTCAGTACTGTCCCCGGAGGGGTGTTAGTGAAAACTGCAGCTCTAGGAGCACCTGAGCAAGCAGGACAGGGAGACGTGGGGAGGAGGGGCAGGTGTGTAGGTGTGTAGCGGCGCCCCAGGCCCACCTTTGGATCTCTGGCACAGTCATTTTCTCGAACTTTTCAAACTCATCCTCTGTGTACAGCCGGTAACAGATGCCACTGTCCTCTCTGCCTGCCCGTCCTGTGCGTTGCCAGGCTTGGGTCTTTGACACGCGCTGCACCGCTAACACCTCCAGGCCACTGTCTGGAGGCAGAATGGCCCACATGAGTGTTCCGCTCATCATGTAAATGAACTGTCTACAGTGTGGACAAAAAGCAGCAGTTCTCAGAACACCAGTGATCCTTTCTGCAGTATGTGAGTCCAGAAAACCTCAAGGCTAATAAGCCAAAAAGCACAAAACCAGACTGCTCTGCAGTGAAAAAAGGCCTTGCAATGAAAGCTGTGAGAAATTACGAAAACATTAGAAGACCTCAATCCTCTTGGTAGGGGGAAGTAGATTTCAGAAGTCTTGGCTTGGATCATACAGTGACAACCACCCAGGTTTGACCAGGATTGAGGGGTTTCCCAGCATAGGGACTTTTGGTGAGAAAACCAGGAGTCTTCAGCAAACTAGGATGGTTGGTCACCCTATCAATCAACGACGCAGAAATGAAATGCCTCCTGTCCCTCAGATGCCATATTCTCCCCACCAGCTCTATTATAAAAGAGGGGCAATGTGATGCTGCAGGAGTTGTGTGACTGATTTTCTTGATAAAGGTGTGCTCTGTGCCAGGCCCTGGAGAACCAAGCCCTTTCCTGTGTTATCTCAGGATACACATGGGCACATCAGCATCCTAAATGCTTAGCAGTGCATTTCAATTAAACATTTGGGGGTGATCATTTCCACTGCCTCAAATCCCCTGTAGAATAAAGCAAGTTATAAAACAGATATGAAGAAAAAAGACTTAGAAAGCTTCTACTGTACACTCTCAGGAAAGAGCTAGTGCCTCACCCCAACCTAGGGGACCTGTTTCCTTCCTGGGAGAACTAAAGCTTGAACCAGCCACGCTCAAATATTCTTTCTGGTGAAGCTTTTCACGTGCTATCAGGTTGTCTTGGCTCAACTTCTGACGAGCTCTCAGTCCCTCTGCCCAGGGCCCTGAGCCCATGCCCGAGGCACTAAAGCTGGGCTCCTCTCTCCTGCCTTGCCTTTTTGTCTCATGTACCTGCCTCAGGTCCCCTTTCTGGACCTGACTTCTGGGGCTGTCTCACTTGTGGTGCCGGCCACCCGAATCTCAGTGAGTCACAAACACGAACTGCTTGTTTGGGGGAATCTGTGGGACTACAGGACGCTCCACAGTTGCTCACTATACATAGAAGAGACATTCATGAGCTACAAATTCTCACCAGGGTTATACTTCTTTGCTTTAACCATGCCCGTGTCAACTACATATTTTATTCCTGTAATGGTTATGGAGGTTTCAGCGATGTTGGTTGAAATGATCACTTTGCGATAGCCCTAAAAGGAGGAAGAAAACCAAGAAGCCATATGACACACATATGATTCAGAAGTTTTAAAACATTCCTCACCATTAATTTCCATAATTCACTCATGATCAAAAAAAGATGATTTCATTATTAATGACAGTTATTAACACTGACGGTTGGTCACTAAATTGGGCAGGGGGGGTGGGGGACATTTCAGTCTTGAAAGCTTATTTTGAGGCGATGAGATGTAGTGGGAGAGACACATGGTTCCGAAGCAAGTAGACGTGGGCTGGACTCCCGGCCCACCAGCTGCCCCCTGTGCTCCCTGAGCAGCTGGTACTCCGCCTCAGTGTTTATAAAACCAGACCATAACCTATCCTGCCGGTTCTCAAGAGAATGAGAACGTATATACGGTGCCAGCACAGTACCTGGCATGCCGTGGGCACGCAGTAAATAGCTCTGTGGACAAACTTAGCTTGTTTACACTGGGCCTTAGAACAGGCCCTCCCTTACTGTTCAGTTTTGCCTCTGCGCTCTCCCTCACCCCTGCCAACCGTCTCCCACCCGTTTTCCAGCACGGGAGAGCCACACCTGCAGCTGTGTGTTAGTCCGGTGGCTTTTCAGCTAGGATACCTGGTACCTAAGCACCCCGTCTCATACACTTTCTCTGGAGCCTGGTGAAAGGCATGAAGGCATCCCTGGTGGATCTGTCTGGGTGCCCAGGATGGGGCTGTGCACTCACCTTAGGGGACCCCTGGAAAACGCGGAGCTGCTGGGCATAGGGCAGGGAGGCGTACAGAGGGAGGACCAGCATGGAGGGGCAGCCGTCTGGGAGGTGCTTTGCAATGTCTCGGCAGGTCTTGCTCATTGCTTCAATCTCCTCCTGACCAGTGAGGAACACCAGGATGTCCTGAGAAGGAGGGGCTTCCTGTAAAATAAGTAGGTGGGATTACTAGGTGTTGGTAGAAGTGCAGGTCACAGAACAAACAATGCTCACTGATGAGGTTTCCTGGAGTTATAATTGAGCCTAAACTGTGGTGTCCTCCCTGGGAGAGAGCCCTCAGCAATCATGCAAACTGCAGTAACTTAAGTGAGTTAGATGGCTCTTCAAAAGCCCACTAAGGAAATTTTGAAGGAAAATCACCAGATTGCTTTTATAGCAAGAATGGTGGCATGAAAAACACCATCAGGCAAGCAAATGGAGTCTGCATACAGCTTCTTCCTTTCATGACTGTCTCAAAACATAAAGCAGACAAAACAGAAGACAAACTGGGGAAATCCTGCTCCACAATGGCCGGAAGCAGTTACGCCAGAGAAAGGAGCCCTTATTAAGTGATACCATCAAACCCACCTCTCCCCACCCCCCTACCCCGCAGCCACCACAGTCCCTCTATCTATCTGATGCAGCCTGGAGGCTGGGAAGGAGTCATTTAACTACTTGACATGGACAGTGCTTGTGACCTGAAGTTAGGTGGGCTCTTCCCCTCACAACAGGCAGAATTTCTAGTGTTACTGACATACTATTCACCTGATTGTTCTTTAAAATTTGTTCAGAACCATTAATTTGTAAAGTGTCTGAATGGCAACATAACTGAAAAAACACTTAGTAATAATAGTAATTATATATATGTGAGTATGTGCATATGTGGTATATCTGTATGTAAACATCTACACATATTTATGTGTGTGTGTGTGTGTGTGTGTGTGTGCGCACATTTTTTAGCTCAGTATTAATAGAGCAAATGTTCAGAGGTAAACACAGACAGGATGAAATCTAAAAAAGTCAAAACTATATCAATGGGAGGACTCATCAAAACCACCAGGTAACTTAAATGCACCTGCAGCCATCATTCATGAGAAATCCTCAGCTCGACTTTACTTTCAGCAGTTACATGAGGCAGGCTGACCTCCAAATACTATCAAAATGACAGTGATAGTGTAAACCCAGAAAGACAGCGATAGTGTAAACCCAGGGAGAGAAGAATGTATCAGAAGTTTCAACCCATTTTTGAAAGACGGAAGAGATGCTGAATGAACCTGGCTGGGCAGAGGAAGAGCCCAGCCGGTGCCTGCTCAAGGGGATGGCAAGAGAGGAGCCAGTTTCCCTGGAGAAGCCTGAAATGCTCAGGACTCGGGAGCGCGGCACAGGTGGCTGTAGGAGGATGAAGACCTGGGGACTGGCTCTGAGTGAAGTGGGGTTAAGCCCCCCAGCCCCCTCTCTGCCGGATGCAGCCTGGAGGCCGGGAAGACACTGGATGCCACAGTGGGCTTCCACACAGGAGAACAGCAAAGGCAGGAGTTAAGACGCAGCCCTGCAGAGGCCTAGGAGGGCAACGTGTTCTGGGCAGAAAAGCAGCATGAAAGACCCTGGAGAAAAGTGGACTGTGTCTGAACACACACACAAATGTTCATCATTGGCACACAGCAGGTGTTGAACACTTGGGAAAAAAATTAGCTGTAGGCCACAGAAACCTTGTACGACGGTGTTTTATAAGAAACAAGGCATCAGAAGGGTGCATTATAGGCAAGGCAGGGTCATAATATTGGAAATACTGATCTCTGGCTTTAAAAACATTGTGATGTAACTATGTTTCAACAATGGAGAGAAGCAAGAGGTAGGGAATGGGCATTTCTAAATCCTCATTTACCATGATTGGAAATTAACATACAATGCCTACTATCAATGAGCCAAAATAGAGCAATATAAGCAGGTTATGTTAGAAATAGGAAAGTGACATCCAGAAGAAACAGGTAAGAACTTGAAAGTGGTTACTCTAAAGAGCAGGATCCCAGATGGGGAAGTAAAGGCAACTGTTATTTTTAATGAGCCTTTTACTTTTAACTTCACTTTTTCAAACTACACATGCATCACTTAGATTTAAAAAAATTTAAGTTTTAAAAATTTGCCTCTAGATTTTTTTCAGAAAGTTAATGGGAAGGTAAAAACCGTCAATTTTACACAATGTAGACAAAAATGAGGGGATTAAGTAATTTTTGACAGAAATGTTTAATAAAATGGGAAGAGATCTTGAACTAGATCTCTAACACAGTTTAAAAAAATATATCTAAATTGCAGTCCCTTATTGTGTCAATAATTACAATTGTACTTTTTATTATAATACCAACTTTTTAAAAAAGGAGGTAGACAATACCAGAGGACATCACATGTAGAAAAGGAGGCAGTGCTTCATGAGGCTTGTTTCAGTTCTACATACATTATATCCTGTGCTGCCACATCAAATGTGCTTCTTGCTGGGAGTTATGATCAAGAGTTTGCAAGCCACTGCACTAACATATGGAAGCTTTCTGGCTCAGCAGAGTTGAATGCTTTTCCTTTTTAGAGAAAATACGTACACAGAAAAGAATAAAGACCTGGGCATGGTAAATGAATGCCTTGTTCATCTTGATGACACAGCTCACAAAGGTTTTCATTTCGTAGCTTTTCTCTTCAAGGATAATAAGTGCTCTATCAACTGCAGGTTAAAACAGACCTTTTTAGGAATTTGCACCTCACTCCATACCTGGTGGATCTGGAAGACGGAGACAAGTGCGGCGTGCAGGTAATCATGCTGAGGCTGTTTGGTGTAAAAAATCTGGATTGGATGCTGCCGGCCCTCCAGGTAGAGGACAGGGGCTCCGTTGAAATACTGAGAGAACAGGTCCACATCCATTGTGGCTGACATCACAATCACCTACGCGTGAGACAGAAGAGGAGGATGGGAAACACCTTGCGACAGTCTTTCTGTGTCCCTCCCAAGCCCTAACAGCAGACGATGAGGCCTGTGCCTCTGCCATCCTGGTTAAACTTTCTGCATGGTTCTGAAGCAGAGTGGGCGAAGGGGCACACACCACGGAGGGACAACAGGCCCGCCCAAGCCCGCGGCACCTACCTTGAGAGGCAGTTTCCCCACTTCCTTTCGCCTCTTCTGGGCAGCTTTCACCACTCCGAAGAGCACATCTGTGTGGATCGTCCGCTCATGGGCCTCATCCAAAATGACACAGCTGTACTTCCGAAGCAGGGAGTCTGAAATCGCTTCACGCAGAAGCATGCCATCTGTCAGGAACTTGATCTTTGTGTCTTCTGAGGTGACATCGTCAAAGCGCACTGTATAGCCAACCTGCACAGAGAAATGACTCATTCGTTCATCAAACACTTGCTGAACACGCACTATGTAACCAGCACTGTATCAGGCACTCATGCTAACGCAGTGAACAGACCAGTACTGACACTCCCCTGCATTCTTGGGAGCATGCAGTCTAGGGGAGCAGACAGACAATGGACAGGTACCTTTAATTGCAGGTATGATATGCATTACAAAGAATTTAAAACTAGCCTCTTATTCCCAGCCACTTAACAGCTTCAAGTGAAGCTACGTACAGATAGGAAAAGATGTCCAAAATGCTTTTAAGTGACATGCATAAATACACATACACAAATAAACCTGACTTACACAGTTTCAGGGGCTCATTCTCAATACCCACATATATGCTAGAAAAATGCTTACAATTTTTAAGAAAAAGTATGTAGATAAAAGATTCAAGAGGCTACTGAGGTCTTAAAAATGCTTGAGGAAAACAACAATTTTATCCAACTTGCCAACAGATTTTGAAAGCAAAGGAAATGCCACTTATAGCCTCTCAGGCCTTCTGATGTCTTAGAAACTGGCTGAAAAATATCTTTGAGATAGTTGTGGCAAGAAAGAAGCTCCCTAGATATAAGAAGTCTTGTTCAGAAAAATAAAATGTGAGGGGTTCAAGGCAGGTGAGGAGAGTTGTTAGTAAAGAAGGAAATTAGGTACCAGCTTCCCAAGTTCTGTTCTCTTCTCATTTGAGACTCTGGAAGCCAGAGAGATGGCAGCCACTCGACGAGGCTGGGTCACAGCAATGATGCCCTGGCGGCCGATCCCCGCTTCATGGAGGTACTGAGGGATCTGAGTTGTCTTCCCAGAGCCAGTTTCCCCTAGGAAAGAAAAAAACGTCTCATTTAAATGCAAACTGAAACAAATTTCACCAAACAGATCAAAGTCAGAAGGAAAAGAGAAAAAAAGAATACTCTAAGTAGATAAAGCTGCTGGTGGAGTGTTAACTGGAATTGTTTCTTAGAAGGCCAAATTATATTAGGAAAATCTTTAATATGTTTATTCCCTTTGACCCACAATTCTCCTTGCAGGAATTGATTCTAAGGAAATATTTAAAGATGTGTGTAAAGATAAATCTTCAAAAAAGTTTTATTCAACTTAGTCCATGACAGCAAAAAACTGGAAACAATATAAATGCCCAATAATAGGTACCTGGTATGGTAAAAACATAAATTGAAATAAAGCCATTATACACAAATGGTATAGTTTTCAAAATAACTGAGATGGATATGTACTGACACAGAGGCATCCACTCATACACTGCAGCCACGACAAACGTCTCACCATTCTCCAGCCTACCCCTTCTTTCAAACTCTCCACTTTTGCCCTTTCTACTAAGAAATACCTGCTCTCACAATGTCTGCCTGGCAAATTCTACAGGATCAGCTAGACCTCTAACTCCCCTGGGGCTGCACTGGTGACTTCCTCCGTGCTCCTAGCACTCGTTCATTTCTCTTCCAGCACGGAGCACCCTACGGTGTGCAGAAGCGTTTAAACATTTCTGTCCTCTTTCAATACCAGCAGCCCACAGAAAGTCTGTCTGTCTCTTCCATGTACTCAAGCATCCTGCATACACTAAACACTCAGCGTTATTTTCTGCCCTCCTAGGTTCCTTTAACTGTGCCTAATTGGAATGAAGACCTCCGTAAATCAGTGCATCCTTCCCCCTCCCTTGCTACCACTACACCTTTTTGACCTCACAGAATCCCAGTCCCAATGTTCTTGCATTTTCTCCCTTCAGAAGGCTCATCCTTCCTGACCTAGCCAAGAATCATGGACTAGGAATTTTATTATTCTGTATTCTTTCTGTTGAATCTACCAGGCAAAACCCCAAGCTTGGATCAACATTTTCCTGTCCATCTTTTCTGCACCTGCACTAAGCAACTGAGCATTGCTCAAGTAAAAAAACCCAACTGTGCAGATGAAGACCTGAGTTTGGAGTGGAGCTAAATGCACCTGGACAACAGTGGTACCATCAGTTCTTGTTCTTGTTTTTGCAGCCTGTCTTCTATACCATCTTCCCCAAGGGCCTACTTGAGGCCCCGTGACTCCCACTCTCAGCTGAGCTCCTCCACCTATTTCATAGGAAAAGTCAAATCCTCAATTGTGAGCTCCGTCTACCTCCCTCTACAAGCTTTTCTGCAGTCACACCCATTCTTACCTCCTTTTGCCAGCCCCTGAGCCTCTTGGATATCCTTGCTTCTATTCCAGGCCAACTCCGCTTCAAGCCCTGTTGCCAAGTGCTCCCCCTTTCACCTGCCCCCTGATCTCTGATCTATTAGTTCCCATTTTGCATCTTCAGCCTCCTACTTTACTGAGTTATTCCCCTCAACCTATGAACACCTGCAAGGTCCTCTCAGCCTCCCTCCTTCCTCTAGAAGCAGAAGGCTGCTCCTATTGCCTTCGTTTCCTCACTTCCTACTTACTCCTCAGCCCAATGACAAATCAGCTCTTACCCACCACGGTTCTGCTGAAATAGCACTCAATGGGAGCCACAATTGATACCCTTACATCCAAATCCAGTAGGCTTTTTTTTTTTGTTCAAGTATTACTGCACCTCATTGCTGCCTGTGTTCACTTCTTCTACTCCTTTAACCATTGCTGTCCTGGGTCTCTTTCCCTTCTTTGGAGGCTCATCCTCTCCGTCCTGAAAGCGCTGTTTCTAACTTAGACGCCGGGGATCAAGGCCCCTTGTAATCAGTCCCAGACCCACCTGCCCCTTAGTTCACGCACCAGAAATTACTACTTCCCGTTGGACCAGACTGTTTCTCACCTCCACTTTGTATCTCAAGCGGCAGACTCTCCCCTTTGGGAAGAATGCTCTCCCTCGAGGACCACCTTCCGTGCCGCCGCCTCCTCCATGGCTAGCTCAGATCCACTCCCTCTACGCTCTCAAAATCTTTGCTACGCCCCTCTACCCTTTTACATGGAAGGTATTTGCCTCACGCGACTGTGGGCACTTACAGAGCAGAGCTGTCGGACTCTTCCGAGGCCTCTCTCCGGGCCTGGCATAGAAAAGGGGGTCAGGTTTGTTGCAGAAACAAATGAAAGAAAAAGTGTTCCCGTAAAGCCAGGAACCGGGAGCATGGACGGACGCACCCGGACCACTCACCGATGAGAACGGCGCTGTCCAGGTTTCGGACCTGGGCTAACAGTTGCCCCCGCGCCTGGAAGATGGGCAGGCTCCGGCGCTGCAGCTCCACGGCTTCGGGGTAGAGGCTGGCCGAGGGCTGGGCCAGAGGCGGCTGCTGCCGCCGGCGTCCTCCTCTCCCACCGCCGCCTGCAGTGAGCAGCATTACCACTCGCCTCCCCGGAGGGCAGGACCCGGGGCGGCGCAGAGGCCCAGAGCCCGGCCGGAATCTCTTGGCCGGCGGGACGCCCGCCTCCTCGGGCATGTCGGGAGGGCAGCGCGACGGGGCACTTGAGGGCGGATTGCTCCTGCCGCTCCCGGGAGCCGACAGCTAGCGCGCACCGCCCCTTCCTGCCGCGTGCTGGAAGCTCCCAGCGACCACTGATGACCTCATGGCCACCTCCAGCCTTTAGAAAAGGGACTGCAACTCCCAGTATGCACTGGGAAAGAGGCTCTCACTTCCTGAGGGCGGGGAGAGCAGAGTCCGAGTACAACGGGAAAAGGCCCGGAGCAATAGCAGCGAAGGACTGTGTGTATGGTTTCGTAGCCCCGTAACCTTAGACAATAATGACGATTTTAACTGTTTCATTGTGCTGGTAACACTATTTGTTTCCAGTAAACACGCGTTTCTCTTCTGTAAATAATAATAATAATAAATAATAATATATTCGCTCAAGGAGGTAATTTTGTAAAATCAGTGAGGAACACACAAACATTTGCATTATCTAATCCACCAAACAATTTATATAGTACACCTTGATATTAACCCAGATCTACAGTTGAAAGTGAGCCTCAGATTATTTAAAATTCAGATGTCATAAAGTCTGAATATTGAAAAGATACTGATCATCTTGTGTTACAGAAGAGGAAAACATTATATATTTTATGACGACCACAAACTCTCAGAAAATGACTTCCCAATGGATGTGGTTTGCTTCTGTAATAGGAGTAGAGGAAGAGGGAGTTGAACTAAAACTGTCTTTTACCGTTGCTTTCTCCAACTATTCCTTTCTGACTCAAGTGCTCTGCAGTTTTCCCCAGCCCTATCACATACACGCCAATCAATGAAAAAATGCAGAACACCAGTGGAGGAAAATAAGACAAAACTAGTTCCTCCTTCTCCTAAACTCGAAGCTTTTAGATGATTTGCTAATTTGCCACAGAAAGACTAGCAAACAGCCGTTCACTCTGCCTACAGGAAATGTGATTCCAGGGAATTCATCCTAAGCTTCAACCCACATGAGACTTGGGGCATCTTCTGAAGTTCATCTCCATGAAACTCCATTTGTTAACCTTTTCAAAATACCCCTCTTCCTTTCTACTAGGTCAGAGGTGATTTTCCTCTAGTTGCTGACAGTTAATAGTGAACAGAGGTTACTGAAAATGTGCATGTTGAACTAATAGCAGATATGTTTAAGAATAAATTGATATTTCACTTCCTACCCCTAAGTATTAATTTAGAAAGGCAACTCAAAACTAAAAGGGAAAATAACTCTTAGCCTGTTCAGGCTCCTGAAACAAAATGCCAGACTGGGTGGCTTATAAACAGAATTCTATAGCTCACAGTTATGGAGGTTGGGAAGTTACCAACATGGTTGCTTTCTGGTGAGGGCCTGGTTCATTGCCGCTGCCTTCTTGCTGTGTCCTCACATGATGGAAGGGACTAGGGATCGCTGGAGCTCTTTTATAAGGCATTAATCCCATTCATGAGGGCTCTACCTCATGATTTAAGCACCTTCCAAAGGCCCTGCTTCCTAATACCATCATATCTGACATTAGCATTTCAACATATGAATTCGCCACAGAAAGAATTCCTGGGGGGCACAGACATTCAGACGATAGCAGTAACTATTAACTCTCCAATTATGCACCCTGAATATTTAAGACATCAGTGCTTTTTCACAGTATGCTTTCCTGAGTAACCTAATGGAGGAGACATATACCCCAAATGATTACAACAGTCCAGGTAGGTAATATAAATGAGTGAAATAATCTCTTTATATATATATATACACACACACACACATATACCCTGTGTCTACAAGCAGCCACAAGTTACCTCTAGGCAATAGCTGCCATGCAGGTCTTCCAATTTCAAGGAAAACATGTGAAATCTATCAATTTTAAATTAATGGTGCAGGAAAAATAAACCATATGTGTAGGTAACTCGTGCATAATCTCTGGCTTAATGACCCAGCCAGCTACTGCAGCTCTAAAGCTACGTGGAACAAAGAGTTGAAAAGTAAATCCTATATAGGCATCAAGCAGTGTTACACACATCTGTCCCCCTCAACTCCCAAATAGTAGTCTGAAATCTGCTGTCCCTCCAAAATAAAAGTCTCTTTGGTCAAATGGCCCTCAAATGTAGATGACCATGTTAATAGCTATTCAGATATCTGGGCTTTTCTTCCAAAAGGTGGATTGTCAAGACATATTTCTTATCTTAACTGTTCTGGGATGGTCTGTGGACTTCTCTGTTCTTACTATGACCATACCAGTTGGTCACTGTTGACAGGCTTGTCTGACCACCAAACCACTGCTCTTGATCCCATCCCACCTTTAGTCAATCATAAGCCCCAGCAACTAGGTACAAGCTTGCATGTGAATATATTGATCCCTCTAGAATTAAAAATACCAGATAATAGCTTGCTGATCAATGAACAAGTGTTTATTCAGCACCCATGTGCCAAGCACTGTGCTAGGCACTGTGGTGGATACAAAAATTTAAGACATGGTTCCTGCCCTTAAGGAGCTTACATTCTCATGAGGGATACAAGACTAATATACATGTACCAGTTAGGAACAGTACAAGACAATATATAATTTGGTGTAGGAGTATGTCATACAGACTTGAAGCTTTATAGGGATTCAAAGATAGACAACGAAATATGCCTTAGAGTCAAGATTTCTTGGAGTCAGGAATGGGGCCAGGCCTTGAAGAACTGAGAGACTTAAACTGAGGTTCCTTTTAGGTAGAGGTGGGAGTTAGATTCAGAGGAAGACAAAAAGTATGCATCTGAAATGGGAGCTCATTAAGAAGCTGTTGGATTTATGAGCAAAGGTGACTTGATCATACAAAGTTCAACAACTTTAATGCAACATTGGGGACAACCTACCCAACACTGAAAACTATGGAGTATCACGACTAGCAATGCAGGTGGAACTCACCTGCCAAAGGAAAACACAGCAACAACATAAAATGCAGGTTATTAAGGATAGATGACAATTCTAGGAGGCCTCCACCCAGCATGCCAATAGCTCCTGTATTTCCTAATTTTCAAGAACCCAGAGACAGTGGGGGTTTCATTACCAAGATCCATGACTTGGGTACTCTCTTAGAGACTACACAAGGGGTAGGAAAGATATTAGGCCATACAAGAGGGACAGAAAAAGAACAAATGGAAGACAGAAATAGAAATCCATAGTAAAAAAGACACACTAAAATGTATATAAAATGTATCTCCTAGAGAGATGCAATTTGCATGTCCAGTTTTTTTAATGGACATATACTGTAGCCTTACAACAAAAAACCCTGCCACAGTTAGGTGTGCTTTTCAGTATCCCTTAAATTATATATGTATGTCAGGTAAGGTGGTCACAAAATTCCATATATCAAATCTCACTTTTCAGTTGACTCGCAGTTTGAAAAAGAAATGTTTTCTGGAAGAATCAAGATTGAGAGGTAAACTGGGGAAGAAGTGAGGGCTTTTCCTCATGCTCAGGTAAGCCCATATGTCCTATTAAGAAACACAGGGCTAGGGATGGTGATAGTGGGATCTGCCAAGCTCATGAGGTCGGTGACTGAAATTACCACTGCCCAGGACACAGTGTAGTAGCAGAGTGCAGCATCTGGCCACTAGGAATTCTCACCCCATAAAACCAGAGAACTCAAAATCCTGTAACTGACTGCATTTAGGCCATAAATTCAAAATGTTTCCTCTTTTACAGTTAATATGTACAGACATTCCCTACTTAAATGAACAGTCACTGAATAGATTTTAGGATTAAAATTTTACTATACAAATTCCATGAATTGGATAACTCAATCAACTAAGAGAGAAGAAATATAACCAGAGAAACATATTTCTAGCCCCCAAATAAACAATTAAAAAAACCTTTTAATTTAAATTCAAGTTTTCTTTAACAGAGACTAGATATAATAAAATTTAAGAATCCCATAAGGATTATACATTCTAAGATTGGCATTTAAAATTTTTTTTAACCACTTAGGAAAAAGGAAGTCCTATTAACCCAAGTTCCAGAAAATTGCAACAATCATATTCAAAATTACTAGCAGCATGTAAAATAGTTATATTAAATTCCATTACTTATGCATATTCCATTTAAAGGTATTAAAACACTTCTCACTTCACAATCTAAAAATTCCCATTTAGGATGTTTATGTCTAATCTAAGTCTCATGTTCATCTTTTGGAGGAAAATCTCATTCTAGAAAGCTACTGCTTAACCAAGCTGGATCCATCTGGAAAAGTCCTGTGCCTACATGTTATTTATTAAAACTATTTAAAATAATTTCTTTCCTAGGGGTATCCATTTCATTCCTCTGAGTTACCTGAATTACTTAGGCAGTGTGAATGTGAACCTGCTGGGACCCAGCTTAGTTAATATCTTGGATAAGTATTTATTGAACCATGAGCATTAAATGCCTATTACTTTGGACCCTAATTTCTACCTGATGGGAAGGAAACCACCTGGTACTTGGCTTTGAAAAGCTTCTCAGCTTTTCATGAAGCAAGTGACGAATGTTAACTAGCCAACGACCCAGAAATGTATTCCTGCCTAATTGGTACCTGTTCTTCTGGCTCCAAAGTCAACATTATAACTTGTTTCCAGGTCCAAAGATTTTTCTGTTGTTTTCCAAAACGGTAGCCATTACCTGTCTTTTCCTGGATATTTCTTAGTGGAGAAATGTAAGCAGAGGAAGTAAGACAGCACATTAGCTTTTCACATACAGCTGACTCTCCTATAGCTGAGTATCTGCTGCTATAAAAACCACCCTACCCCTCTTTGCCACATTGCCTGACAACTTGAAGTTTTACAAACCCCAGACGGAGAACAAAGTATCTGGACAACAGAAACAATCTTCTTCCTACTGGAGCTGCAACCGGAATTAGTAGATGGATATACAGCCACAGTAGATCAGCCTTGTATTTCCAATCTTGAAATGAAATCCAGTCGAAATCCAGCGAAAGATAGGAAGAGCAGGCATGTAAATGGCTTTGAGTTGACCTAGCAGGAGAACTAGAACACATTATCATAATTTAAAAGATCACACACAAAAGCTTTAATTCAGTGAGAGAGAGATGGAATTAGTTTTATTTTGTCCTCTCTGAAACTTCCATTTACACCATGGCCTTGTCTATCAAAGAAGAGGAAAAAGCTCTGCCTTACACCATAGAACTCAAGGACTCATGTACTTGTTCATTAGAGGTGGCAGGGTATTTGTTTCTCCCATTTTTTGGCTCCAAGAGATTACACTTTCAGTACCAGTGTAATGAGGAACCACTGGTAAACTGCTGGAAATGTCTTCTGGATTAATCAGTGTACCATTTCATAAAGTGCTTCCGGAGTTAAAATCTGTCAAACTGTCAAAAGTGTCCACACTTTTGCAACACAAAGGATAAAAGAATCCCAATGCATATGTCACTGAGTCCTTCTCAGCTGGGTCTCATTATTGGCACTGCTGCTTAGCCACCAAGGCGCTGGCCCTCACCCCAGGCGAAACCTCCTGGCCGCTCTTCCGGTAGTGGATTGTAATTTGGATCCTCATCTGGTGTATCAAAAATAGCCTTCCTAAAAGACAGGCAACAGATTTAATTTAGTCCCAGAGTCACCTTAGGTCCCTAACACTGCAAGGTAAAAAAGAGTCCATGGGGCTCCTACCAATGAACAAGCATTATATCTGCCTACCAATGAAACAGTTGCCGTATTATGAAAGTACTCATAATTATTTCACATTTACATAAACTTATACCTTTACTCATTTTTACTATGAAAGTAATACATGTTAACTGTAGAGAAAACAGGAAACATATTTGAGCAAAATATCCTAAATCCCCAGAGATAACCACTGTTGTTTTCATTATTCTTCCACAATTTTAATATATGTAATTTTACAAAAGCTAGATTACCTACTTGTTTTATAATCTGATTTTCACTAAATTTATCACGAATGTCTCCCCACAACCAAGTATCATCCAGCATCCACTGACAAATGCATAAACAAAATGGTATGTACATATAATGGAGTATTTTCAGCTTTAAAAAGAAAAATTCTTGACATATGCTACAACATGAATTAATCTTGAAAACAGTATGCTTAGTGAAATAAGCTGGTCATCAAAGGACAGAAACTGTGTGATTCCCCTTGTATGAGGAACCTAGTGTAGTCAAACTCATACAGAGACAGAAAGTAAAACAATGGTTTGTCAAGAGCTGGGGAAATGGGGAATTATTTAATGGGTACAGAGTTTTCAGTTTTGCAATATGAAAAGAGTTCTATGGATAGATGGTAGAGATAGCAGCACAATGTGAATGTACTTAATGCCATCGAACTGTACACTTAAAATGTGTATGATGATAAATTTTATGTTTTGTCTATTTTACAGTTAAAAATTTTAGAAGTTATTCCAAGAAAATTATACAGCATAGGAAGGGATAGTAAATGTCCAAAGACTTTTAAAATACTATCATATGGTCATTCAAAATCTCCTTCCTTAAAGAATTATCTATGAAAACATCACCTACTATTTGCATTCTTATTTCTAATTGTACTTGCCCGTGGTTGATAAAATTAGAAATGTATCTGAAAACTTCTATTTCATCTTGAGGTCAGAAAAGGCATCTATATTTCAATATGTGTTCCTTTAATTCTTAAAAATTAACAACAGAAAAATACAAAACATAGTAATAGAAAAGTGTAGGGGTCAATAGGCAATTCAAAAAGGAAATTCAAATAGTTAAAAAATACGAAAATGTGTGCTCTCATAATAATTAAAGGGAAGCCATGTTAAAAACTGAGACTCATTCCACTTCCCAACCATTAGGTGAGGCAGAACAAAGTAGGTGTGTGCCCAGGCAGGGGAGTGCAGCCATGGCTGGCCCAGAGCAGGAGGACTGGGGGAGCAGCCTGGCACATGGAGTCAAGAGCCCAACTGGGGCATATACACCTGGAGGTAGTCTGGTGCAGGATGTCACAGCCCGAGTAGGGTAAGGTGGGCATCCCCGTAAGAGGGCAGCCCGATACATGGCATATGAAGTGCAGCAGGATGAGCAAGGCATCCACATAGGATGAGAGACTCGTTACATTTGGTGGGGACTAATTAAGTAGGTAAATATAGTAATGAAAATAGGAATCAGGTTTCTCACTGTCAATGAGAATAGGGAAAAACAGAAAAGGAATTATATAGTCACACAGTGGAATACTCAATAAAAAAAAAGGAAATTACTCATACATGCAGCAATGTAGATGAATTTCAAACACATGTTGAAGAGGCCTTATACAATGAAGTAAATATATACTGTATGATTCCACTCATGAAAAACTATTCTGTGGAGGAACAAAATCAGTATAGTGATTGTTTCCTGGGTGAAGGGGGCAAAGACTGACAGGGAAAGGACATGAGGGAACCTTCTGGATAATGGTATTTTCTTTAGCTTGATGGGAGTTTTGGTTACATAGGTATATCAGGTATGTGCATTTATGAAAACCTATTGGCTGGAATGCTTAAGGTTTGGGTATTTTGTTGTGTATAAAGAACTCTAGTGATAATAATAAAGTATTTAGAGAATTAAGTATGGAAAGATGGACAGAGGTATAAAAAGCTAGAACAGTACAGTAAAATATTAATTATCGAATCTGTGTTGGGTAAATTACTGTACAATTTTTTTCTACTTCTCTGTAAGTTTGGAAGTTTTGATAATAAAATATTGGAGGAAAAATATAGAAAGGAAAAAAACTAGAATGAATCGTAACTAGTTGTACTAGAACTAGGAGTATCAGTATAAACCCATGTTTTAAGAATACAGATGTATATATATCGTATGTATACATATACTCCCTTGCTCTAGTCAGTGAGACTCCAAAAGCAATGAGCACATCTAGTACCCGGATCTTGGTTTCTAAATACCATTCCCCACTAAAAAGGAACTAGGGCTCCTTGACGAAATAACTGATTCTAAGACTAGGTCAAGGAGAGCACAAGATGAGCCTGGGATATCTTGCTGGGCCATAAAGTAATAAACTGCTTAAAAAAAAATGATGGAAACATGTTGAAAAGTACCTAGAAGCCAGTTTGAATGGATTTCCATTGGCCAAATCTGGGACAATATGAGCACCAAAATAAACAACAATACAAGGGATTATAATCCATGGATAACACATGAAACCATGAATTTATACAGATATAAATGAACTGAAATTTGACAAGAAAAGGAATATATTTATATTTTCTTGAAGTACCTTCTCACAAAACAAATTTATTAAGGAATAAAGGTAACTATGGTGGAGAAGCCTCTCAGACACTTATGTAATCGAAGTGATTACCACCACTTTGTCAAATTCAAAAAAATGAAATCCTGTGCTAACAGGCTACAACTAGAAGAATGCAATGTCACTTCTTTGATTCCTACTAAAGTCGCAAAACCTAAATCTAAGAGTGAGCCAACATCAGGACAAATCCAAATTGAGAGGTATTCTACAAAACGGGCCTATAATCTTAAGAAATGTCAGAGTCATGAAAATCAAGGGAAGACCAAGGAGCTGTTTCAAACTGAAGGCGATTAAACAGACATGACAACTAAATGCAACACCTGAATCCAAATTAGACTCTTTTGCTATGAAAGACATTAACAGGACAACTGCCAACAGTGGAATTAGGCATGAGGATTAATATTTATTTCCTGATTTTGACTTTGTAGAATATTATTTTTTATAGAAAATACATATTAAAGGGTGTCTGAGGGCATCATATGGACAATTTACTTTCAAAGATTTAAGGGAAAAACATGTCCTTTGTACTGTTTATTTTCTTTAAGTCTGAAACTATTTCAAGATTTTAGAAAAAAAATCATAAAATACAATGAGACACTGCCTTATAGCTATCAAACTAGGAATGGGAAAATACAGTATCTCCCAAGTTTGATGAGGGCAATGGACATTTATGTATTGCTAGTAGAGATATAAACTTGACCATTCATTTTGGATGGTTATTTGCAATACAGAAAATAGCAATTCCACTTTTAGGAATTTATCCTTTAAAATAGTCATGAATATGCACAAAGACTTAGCTACAAGGATATTCAACACTCCAATTATAAAAGGAAAAACAAGAACTAATGACACTATCCACCAATAAGGGATTAGTAAAATCACTCTATATTCATACCACAGGGTATCATGCAGCTATTATATTTTTGTAGGACATTTATGATGGGAAAATGATTATGACATATTACATTAAAAAGAAGGTTATGAAACACCATTAGAAAAGTACAAACAGTAAAAGACTGAAGAATACATGTCAAAAAGTTAACAGTGGTGGCCCTTATTTTATCTAAGTGGTGGGATTATGGAGGACTTTACTATTATACTTACTTCACTTAACTAACCTACAACCAAGATTCATAAAAATGGTGTGGATGAAGTGAAGGTTCCTGTGGCCAGGATTCTCACCTGGCCCTGGTTGTCTTGCTCACTACACATGTGGGCAATACACATTACTGACTCTATATAAAGAGCTCTGCCCAGTGCTCTGGGAGACATGGTGGTACAGCTGCAGGAGAGCAGAGCAGAGACTGGAGTGTTGGCCGCACTAAGGACAGAGACTGAGACAGCTGCAGGGGTAGAGAGGCCCAGAGGCTTGCTGCATGCAGACTCCCTCTGAGTGGATGGGATTCTAGTGATTGACCTGCCAGCATGGGAATAAAATTGTGTATAATCCTTTCACCCCAAGAACGTCCTACTGTCATTTCTTTGGTCACACTGAATCCATAGTGAACTCGCCCGGGGCTGAAAATCCACTGGCAAGACAAATAGTTTATGATAAAAACTCACATTTTATTCCTCAAGCAAACCCTTTTTGATGCAGTATATCCTAAGGACACAAAATTCTAGACTAGAAAGAGGTCTTACAAACCAAAGTTCTACTCTCAGGAAACTGAAGTACAAAAACAGAGAAGGGACTGGCTTAAAATCACAAAGCTGGTCGGTGGAACTGCCTGCACCTGGTTTCCAGGCCAGAGCCATTTCCATTCTACTTCACTGCTTATCTCTACCACCTGTTTGAAGGCTGGACATTCCACCATTAGAGACTTCCCTTTAGTCAGTTTTACCCACTTGGCTACGTCACCTCTCTAAACTCAGACAACAGCTTTCATGAAACCAGTAGGCTCACCTTGGACAGGAGATGCCAGTGGTCACCTGGGACGGCAACAGCCAAGTCACCCTCAGGACACCCTGAGCCTAGTAACTCTGCCCCTACCAAATGCAAATGTTCTGCAGCTGCAACTGGATTGCTCAATCTGCAAATATTTGCTGACCTAAACCCTGGGTGCCAGGAGCTCCAGGAGCTCCAACAAAACACAAATCTTGGATCCTGTCCTAGTTTATCTGCAAGGAACACGTGAGCTAATGTTAAATACTCACAAAATAGATGGTGTTTTCAGAATTCTTATTCCACCAGGCTGATTGGGAAATACATCTTCCAAAAAAAAATATATGTGTCCAACTGCAATACCTAGAATCAATCAGAGATAAAGGATGAGGGAGAGGATTAAAACTTTGATTGCACATGGATCTACCAACATAAATTACTCATATTGAGGAAGAAATCTCAATATAATTACTAAAAATTAAAGTGTAGTCTTTGAGCATGTAACAATCGAATAATCCTATAATAGCTATCTGTGAAGGCCAGACAGAATAAACGTGAAAAGTAGTGACAAAACAAATTTACAAGTAAAATAATAAAAAAAAGTAGTGATAAGACTCTTACCCAAGAGGTCCACAATGATTGAGTTCCCCAACAACAAGGAAAAGCCCATGAGCACCCAGGGTAGAAAGGGGGCTTGAAAATTGAGAAGGCCAAAGAAGTTCATGCGGACATAGGGGTTCCTTCGGCTCCACACGTAGACAAGCATTATTGTAAAGGCTTGGCCCAGGAAAACTAAGCTCACGAACAAACCGAAAAGCTAGCAGATGGCATTAAGGAAAATATGAACATTAAAAGTGTAATAGGGAAGACTGGGCAAGAGAACTAAGGATTGCATTCTAATGGAAGTATGAATTAGGAAAACTGAGCAGTAGTTACACCTTTACAAGAAAAAAAGCGTGAAAATGATTAGCCAGAGACATCAGGCAAAAACCGGCTTAGGCCAAATATCTGGATTGTAACTACTTCAAATTAACATTCTGCTTTCAGGAATTTCTTGCCTCTTTGGAAAATGTGTTAATTCCTTGGTTAGTAACTACATTAAACTCATTCACCATTAGCACCTTTACAAAGATGAATTAAGTGAGCCAGAGCAAAACCATCCTGTTACTACATTCAGGTTGGTCATTTGGATGACAATTAAAAAAAAAATCTATCAGTTTTGACAGTGACCAAACAAATGTCTTACTTACTTAGCTTAAAAGTGAAGCACGCCCATCAACAATGAGATATCTAAGATACTAATAGTAACCCACCTGGGTTAAAAGTTCCTGACTTGCTCACAGTAGAAAAGCATCCTGTCCAACCTCTAGGCTTAGAAAGCTGTCACATAAAGTGTGCTATAATAAACAGTGCCTTGCAGCTCAAACCTGGTCTACTTTGATCTCTTTGTTCAGAATATCTAGCAGATTATGGGAAACAGGTGAAAAGCTTTGGCGAGAGCAGGTGTTCTTTAACATTTTCCTGTATTTGCTCTACTTGTTGAAGGATACAGTCATTAAGAATCCACCAAAAAGGAACATAAATACAAAGTCTGCTGTCCGACCTCGGAAAGAGCCTTCTTCTAGCATTCGACAGTAACGATATCTTTAAGTTCCAAGTTAAGAAAATTTTAAGTACACAAATAAGAAAAATTAAAATTTAATGTATTACTCAAGTACACCTGGACTCTATACTATCTATAAGAAGTCAAGCCTTCATTTCTCTGAGAATGTTTACAAGGGGTAGTTTGGTCACTTCTCTTTTGGTACGAGGCATCTTAGGCAAGGTGAAGACCACGTTATCTTACAAAATCAGTTCCTGATTGGGGAACTAAGCCAGGTTCTGCATGAACATGTTTCCAGTCATCTTCTACACTTTTTCAAATTTGTACTGTCTTTCCCATGTTCAGCTACACTATAATTTATACCATCCTGGCCTTTTCATAACCTAACTTGGAAATAATCCCCATCAAGAAGCCTTGTGTGATAACCTACTTTTTCAGCCAGTTTAAACATTTCTACACTTCAAGTCAATAAAGATGCATTATGATGAAAAATGTATTAGAAACTTACCAGAATGATATACCACATAGATGACACAGGAATCCATCCCAGGGCAGGAATCCTGTCACCCCTCTGAGGCCCTCTGTCTACCGCAGGTGAGCAAAGCTGTAACCCCCTCTTAATCCAGAGGGTCAGGGTGGAGGAGGAATGTCTTGCTCAGTGATCCCAATTACCCAGCTGACCAGAGCACAACTTTTCCTCTTTCAACAAACTGGAACATGGCAAGCCCAGCAGACATTATGGCACTGTCTCCCAGCAAGTAGAAGCAGCAGCCAAGGTCCAAGGAGATCTCAAGTTCTCCATTCCTCATGAACCCACTCCAACCAGGACCAAAGCTCTATTAATTATCACTGTATTCAGGTTGTGTTTCATCACTTGATATCTGCTGATGTTATTTTGTAAGTATGCTTCAATTAAATCACTTTATGGTTAAAGACTTCCCATTTGAAAAAACAGTGACCTAAAAATACCCTTAAACACTATTATCTGACCAATTACTCTGTGTATCACTGAGCGAGTACCCAGACGTTACAGCTAAGATGGCAACAAAAATAATAGGATTATGTTTCAATTTAATATTGTATTTCCTAAGTAAACCTAAAGTTTTATGCTAACCCCACTTAATAAAGGATACAGAAATATCATGTTAAATAAAAAATTGAATCCAACTGGCCCAAAAAATAAGAAATTGGTGATTAGCCTCCATATCTGTTAAAAGAAAAAACAAGTCAAGAGAAAGAATAGATTAAGTAAAATACACCAGGAAATATTTCCAAATTAAGAAAAAAGACATATTCTATGACAACAATGGTTGAAAGGCCACAGACAGGTAATATTATGTTCTGATCCAAAAAGTGTCTTTTTGTGACAGTGGATTTTTATGCTATTCCTAGTTGAAAGTCTGAAAGATATCACTTGGCTCTCAAAATCCGTAAGGATAATGGGACAGAAAACTTGGAAGTATGATCATCCTTAAAAAACAACAAAAAAACCCTGAAAAACCCTACACCATATATATGTTCAACCAAATTATGGAAGAAGTCTGATAGACTAGGTTAATTTGCAGAATAGAAAATAGTGCTTTCATATATGTCGTACCAGAATCTAATTGAGATACCAGGGAAAAACTCCAGGATCTAATGTAAACTTCCCAGTTATGTTTCTATATTAGGCAGTCTGAAACATCCAGAGTAAAACCCTGATACTCTTTCCAACTCATCCACCCCTGCAATAAACAGAACTCCTCACAATGGTAGAGCACGTAACACTTTCAAGTGCTTTAACATACTCTATTATAATCTTCTGTGATCCTAATAATCTTGTGAGATAGACGAGTAGACTGGGACTACCATCCCCATTTCACATGTCTGGAAACTAAGAAACCTGGATAATTTTTAAAAAGCTTGCCCAAGGATATCCAGCTTGTAGGGGTTGACTCTGAACTCAAACCTAGAACTCCTAACTCCAAATGCAGATACACAGTCATCAAGAGGATAACCCCAGGCAAAAATCAAGCCAAGCCAAGTTAACAGGAATCAATACTGAGATGGGGCTACAGTTCCCAGTAAAGGCCATGTGCACATCAAGGTAACAAGGCAGTGCCAGTAGACCACAGGACTGCTTTATACATCATTATCATTAAATTCTTAAAGATTAATAATAAAGTTGAAAGAATTTAGTCCTACTAACCGAGTCCTCAACCCAGTGAGGAGACAAGCATGCAAATAAGTGCAAGGTGTGAGATGCACTAAAAGAAGTATTTACAGAGACCCTAGGGACACAGAGGAGGATGAATCTGGGAAGACTACAAAAAGCTGCATTTTGAAAGGCAAGCTGGAGTTCGGTGGGTATAAAGTGAATGAAACACATTTGAGATGGTGAGAATAACATGTAGAGGCAGAATTATTGGCTTTTGGATCTCTGTCACTCTGTATCCTATATGATCCTCCCAGAGTAGGAAAACACACCTCTCTTTTAGCATTTAATTACTGGAGAGGACTATCTCCTGCTGTAATCTAATAAACTGGCGTGTTGTTTTAGACATTGGTCTTCTGAAGCTTTGTTAGTATGAATTATTCCTGGAAGATGATCAACTTAAAAGCACCTAACAGAGTTGAGTTCCTCAACTTGTCTACGGTGATAACAGAGGGTGGCTGGCTTGCCAGATGCTGAGTCCACAAAATAAGGGCATCCTGTAAGACTCTCTGGGCAGCTTTCGTCTCCTCTCCAACTACATTATTAATTCTGAACCAGTTATTCCTAAACACAGGAACTGGACACATCAAATCAAAACCATGCAGGGAACTTTAAAAATAAAATGCAGATTCCCAATTCCTACCCTTGGTGACTCTGATTTGGTACATGATGAGGTGCTTGAGAACCTCTTAAAAGTTGTTGGTGATTCTGCAGCCTGCAGAAACACTGCTTTATATCCTCCACAGTAAAACTTATAATCAAATATTCCCACTGACTTTTTTGAGATAATACATGACAGGATTTGCTACTAAAAAGAAAAAAAATAGTTTAAAAACGGAAGCATTCATCATGGTTATGATGGACCACTTACTTGAAAGTGTTTAAAGATTAATTCAGGATTGAAGTACAACTGAAAAGGTGTGATCAGTTCCAACTGCTGAAATAGAAAAAAAAGCTTCTTAAAGCAAATCTATCAAGAAACAAAAAATTGCATCACTTACAATAAAGAATTAGGAGGCCTAGCACAACTCTCACTTGAACTGAATCCTTTTAAGGCTTTCTTCTTAGGGCAGAGGAAAGATTGGTAAAGAATTCTCTAGAACGGGTATAATTCTTTGTATTCCTAAAGTGTATTCCTAAAAGTTTGTTTTATGTTGAAATAGTTGGTGACATGAAGGCATGGAAGTAGGTGGTGCTATTTTAGATGCAGGGCAAAAAGAGGAGCTGTTAAAAATTAGCCCGTCACATGGGCACCACCTGAAACAGCTGTGTGAAGCCACACAACTCACTCAAAAGGACAAAGACTGAAGATCAAGACTCTGCCACCGTCTAGGCTGGGTGCTTCCAGCCAACCTCTCTAACCAGCCTCTCTTTTTTACACGACTTCCTCTTTCGACAACTTCCAGCTTTCTATCCTCAACACCTAGGTTTCTTCACTAAGCGGTCGTGCCTCCCACTAGTCACCACGGTACCACCTGGTCATCGCCAGAGTTCCTGACATGTTTCTTGGGTGGGCGTCTCCCGCAGCCCTGATTGCTGTGGTGTCCCGCCTTCATTTTTCAGAAACTGGCCTGCAGTCCTGATCCTCCACCCCATAAAGAGGCATTTTCTTTTCGGGTGACTGGATAAGCAGTCTCCGGGTCATTCCAAACCCCACAGAGCAGCACCCTGTACGCCCCTTCCCACCCCGGGATCAACTCCTCTGGCTCTCCAAGAGGCCCAAACCCCAATTTCCCGGAGACCCGGTCAAATCCAGCCCAGACAGTGAGAAGCTGGTGCTGCAGCGGCTCACCACAGCGGCGGTAGTGAGGACGCAGGCGGTGGTGTAGGCGCGGCTGACCGGTGGGATCTGCAGATACTCGAGCCGCAGGCTCTGGTACGCCATCTTCCCCACCGCCTGCCCCCCCCCACTTCCCCTTCCGGTAGTCAGCCCTGACGGCGGGGCGGGATCAAAGCGGGGCCTGGTGCTGTCCAATCAGCGCTGCGCAACCTGCCAGCCACCAAGCGCTAGAGTCCTAGGGAAGGCACCCTGCCAATCACGAGTTGCGTTTCCGCAGCCCCAGCCTTGCTTCCCCACCCACCGGCGTCCGGAAGAAGAGAGTAAGTACGGGTTCCTTCCGCCAATCACCGCCGGCCACAGCTAAATTTTCCCGCCCGGCCCCTTGCGGTCACCAATCCAGGTGGCACCCTTCAGATCGAACATCCAGCCAATCAGGAGCACGATAGCATCCCGCCTTTGCTCTCGTTCGTTGAGGCAGGTATCGGTCGGAATTTCGGAGAGCCCGCGGCCCCACCTATCTCTGACCTCAAGTGGTGGTTTAAAGGAGGTGGCGGGAAGACGGTGGTCGAATTCATCACTCTCATGGTTGCTTGGGTAAGTGCCGCGGGGCTGCATTTTCTCTGAGGAGGAGAGGGAAGAGGTGGCACTGGATTCTGCATCACCGCCAGGCGCTGGAGCAGCCTGTTAGAGCAGCCTGGTCAGCCGGGCCCCGGCTGCCGACCCGGCATGCAGTGGGGTCACGTAGCCCGACGGGAGCCCGTCCTCCGGCCGAAGTAGTTCCTGCCCTCTGTTTCTGGAGCTCGGTCGGCTCAACTAGCTGAGGTGTCCTAGGCACCTTTCTAAATGCAAATATTGAGTTAGCCGTATCCATCCTGCCCTCAGGAACCCTAGACCTAGAAGAGAAGATGAGACAGGCTAGTGAATAATATCTTAAAGTAGAATTTGGGCGGTGTCCGAAGAGAGGTCCTGATGGGAATTCAGAGGGGTGGGTCACCAGGGAAGTGTATTAAGCTGACCCTTGAAGGATGTTTGGCCATGGCCTCCTTTCTTGAAGGAAAGACAATATCACAGGGAAACAAAATAGCTCCGTGGGGTTGGAACAAAGATTACCTAGATCATGGCAGGCAAAGCTAAGAATATTATTTTTTCGGTGGATTATAAGGAAGCACTAAAGGCTTTTGGAACGGGAAGTGGCCATCAAGTCTAGTAGTATATAAGAAAGGAACCAAGTAAAAGGCTGGAGAGAGTGATTTTTTTTTTTAAGGATATGGTAATTCACAGAAGGAGAGACGAAGCGTTAACATGTATGAAATGGTGTCCAACTATTATTAACTGCGATCAGAGCAATTCACATTAAACTATTTCTGCCTGCTCCCCAGGTATCACCTTCAACCTGTTGATAAAACAATGCCAAGTGTATTGCTTACCCTGGTAAGGGAGAACATGTCGACAGGGCTTTAGCAGTATCTCAGAGGGATGAGAGAAGAGATAGAAACTTTTTTGAGAATTACAAGTTTGGTTTAAGGTGAATCTTTCAATTTTGGATTAGGTAGGGATCATGAAATAACAATCCAGAATTGGTAGAAACAGCTGAGGCAAGGATTTCAGAAAAGCTTATGGTACAAATTGTTGATGCGTCCCGTTGAAAAGTTAATCGTCTTGGGCTTTCACAATGAACAAGCGGTATGAACAATAAAAATGCTATTCTGGTGTCCTAGAATAGTAAAGTCATGGTAATGTAAACAGTAAGTTGTGTCAGGGGGAGGGAGTATAGATAGTTCCAGTCCTCACTACCCAACTTTCTTTGTGTGGCTACATGGTTTTGACTTTCAAAAAACAGCACTGAAAAACAATTTCACACCTATTAGATTGCCAAAAATTAGAGTGTTGAGTAATATCAAGTGTTAGTGAAGACGTGAGAAAGAAATTGTCATATACTGCAAGTGGGAGTGTAAACCAGCCTAGAGTTCCCTACCCCCCCATCAGAACATTAAAGAAAATTTTTTATTAAGGTATGATTGATATACACTCTTATGAAGGTTTCACATGAACATGTCAACAGGGCTTTAGCAGTATCTCAGAGGGATGAGAGAAGAGAGAGAAACTTTTTTGAGAATTACAAGTTTGGTTTAAGGTGAATCTTTCAATTTTGGATTAGGTAGGGATCATGAAATAACAATCCAGAATTGGTAGAAACAGCTGAGAAACAATGTGGTTACTACATTTACCCATATTATCAAGTCCCCACCCATACCCAAATGCAGTCACTGTCCATCAGTGTAGTAAGATGCCACAGATTCACTGTGTCTTCTCTGTGCTACACTGTTCTCCCCGTGATCCCCCATGCCATGTGTACTAAGCATAATACCCTCAATCCCCTTCTCCCTCCCCACCCGTCCTCCCACCCCCTCCCCTTTGGTGACCACTAGTTCCTTCTTGGAGTCTCCCCATCAGAACATTTTGGCAGTATTTAGTGAAATTACGTATAAGTGAACTCTATGGCCCAGCAATTACTTGGCTGTGTAAATGTCCTGCAGGTCCCTGAGGAGACATTATAGGAGGGTGTTCATTATAACATTATTTCTGGTAGAAGATACTGGAAGCAAAATAGGTGTCCTTCATAAGTAGAATGGGTACATCAGGTGTGGTATATGTATATGATAAAGTGATGGACAACTTCAGTCGGAACCAATGAAATATAACAGGGAAGTGTAATAATATGGAATGACTGCAAACAAAAATGTAAGCGTACAAATACAAAACTTTTTCAAGAATGTCAAAAATCTATTAAAGATGAATTAAAATTAAAGATAAATTGAAAAGGCATATGTTTAAACACTAGGTTCCTATGGGAAATGAAAGAATAAAATAAGAGGACATAACATGGAGCAACAATAGACTGCCATGAAATAGGAAGTATTATCAACTCAAGTTTGTACATGTGAGGTCCTTACAAAGGAGGACAGCGTGATTAGTAAAGGTCACATGATGAAGGCTCATGTACACCATGTTGAGAGTTTGAACTTGATTCTAAAGGTATAGGGCCATGTTGAAATAAAATCTGCCAACCCACAAGACAGAGAAGAATGCAATTTTATTACTGAATAAGCATATTGAGTTTGCAATTCATTGTAGGCCGTGTGTAAGATCACAAAGATAGAAAGAAATTCTACCCTGTATATACAGCCAAGCCAGTCATTCTGTCTTTAGCCATTTTACACATAAATTGTCAGTATCAACAGCATCTTATCTTCCCATAAAAAGATTTGACTGCACCATTTGCTTCAAATTCTTTAAGTGCATCCTAAATTCATCTAAGGTAGCCAATTTAGCTAATGGCCTTTATCTGAAGGGATAATAAAACTCAACTTTTGTGACAAACATGGTTACAGCTCAGGAGAAGGTGCCTAGGTTAAATTTCCACAGTCCTTGCACAGTGACAGGGAGATAGGATTGCCATTTTCTTAGATGTTTACTTTTGGAAGGAATGACTCCCAGACCCTTGAACAAACATGTCAGAGTTGTAAAACTTAAAAGAGGCTTGCACAGCTTCCAATGGGGATTTTTTTTCCACATGGCTAGGTTGGAAGGAAAGAGAGTCAGGGACATTGGCAAGGGAGTGGTTGAAGTGATGGATCATGGAACCTAAAATGGACAGGGAAAGAAGTGAAGTGGGAGAGAGACTGAGAGCAAGAAAGAGAGGATCAGAGAGCTGAAAGTCTTGAAGAGTAATGTATAATATTAGTCTGTGAATTAGATTTGGAAGAATAGTGTGTGAGGTGATGGTCAAAAAGGAGAAGCTAGGGAGAGAAGACAAATATCAATAGCCAGGTGGCTAAAAGAGTGGAGATGAAGGCTATTGAAACGCAAGAAACCAAGATTCTAGGGCACTGGTTAGGTCATCCATCTAAACTTGAAAGTTGTCTAGGATGATAACAGAATTCAGAAGACTGAGCAATAGGCCAGGGTCCTCAAAAAATGAGAGTTGAGGGAAATTAATAATGAGATGGCAAAAAAGAGATGTTATAGACTGATGGCAAGAGCCTCAAGAGAGGCAAGGGTTTATATCCTATTGTGAATGATTAAGGCTTCTTTCAACTGGATGTGGCATCAGGTATCAAGGGATACAAACTCCTTGTTTTTTGTTTGCTTCTCTGTTTTGTTTTTGCAATCTGTAATGTGATTTGTTACCTTCATCAGATGATTTTTCTATCTAAATGAATTTTTTCTTTTTACATTTGCAGATTTTTCCCAATTAAAATTAGCGAACCAAAATAAACCAAGATGTCTGTTGATCCAATGACCTATGAGGCCCAATTCTTTGGCTTCACACCACAAACTTGCATGCTTAGGATATACATTGCATTTCAAGATTACCTATTTGAAGTGATGCAGGCTGTTGAGCAGGTTATGCTGAAGAAGCTGGATGGCATCCCAGACTGTGGGATTAGCCCAGTTCAGATTCATAAATGCACGGAGAAGTTTCTTTGCTTCATGAAAGGACGCTTTGATAACCTTTTTGGGAAGATGGAGCAGCTGTTCTTAGAGTTGATTTTGCGTATTCCCCCAAACATCTTGCTTCCAGAAGATAAATCTCAGGACACGCATCCTTATAGTGAGGAAGAATTCCAGCTTCTCCAAAAAGAAATTGAACAATTACAGGAGAAGTATAAGACTGAATTATGCACTAAGCAGGCCCTTCTTGCAGAATTAGAAGAGCAAAAAATTGTTCAGGCCAAACTCAAACAGACGTTGGCTTTGTTTGATGAATTTGAAAATGTTGGCAGAGATCATGGGGCTAGTGATTTTAAGGAGAGCTTGGTGTACCTGGTCCAGAACTCCAGAAAACTACAGAATATTAGAGACAATGTGGAAAAGGAAGGCAAAAGATTGAAAATATCTTAATTTCTATGTAGGAAAAGGAACTTGTCAGAAAGTAGAATGGTAAGGGATTTATATCAATGACTATTCTTATTCTACTGAGTTGTATATTTTATTGGGTTTTCTTTGCTCAGTCTTGTATTCCACATATTTTGGTCCGCCCTCTTGAAGAGTCTGTGTACCACCCTGAACTAATCTTTGCAGCATCTGTTCCATAGAGGCTTCTAGTAGGTGGGAAGGAATTCTTGATTCACTGACAAGTTTTGGGGGCATGATGGAAGAAGTAAAGCTTTCCCTGGCCAATGATATTTGTGAAAGTTGTACCTAGGTCAAGTGTCCTTTGTAATCTTGATCCTTTTGACTCATTCTCAAATGAGGTCAATGAGGAAAAGGTTAAATGGGTGACTTCTTTATTAACCAGACAGTACACTGGGGGATAGCCAACATGGACTGCTTGCTCTTGCCCAGTAACTTTTCTTTGATGAGGAAGTTGATAACTAGTTGAAAGAAGCAAGTAGCAGAAAAAGCAACCATGGCCTTTAATAAAAAAGAGAGAAGTTACTGTTTCTAAAATAAATCCTTTCCATGACCAAGGTCTTGGTGATGTTACTTTACTGTCTTGGAGCCCAGCAGCGGAAGACACTGGACAAAAAGGCAGATCTTACTGGGATAGAAAAGGAGGCCTGGAACATACCCAGTAGCAAAATACCTATTAGGTATTTATACTATTTTTTATTCATACTTCATTTAGTTTTGGAATCGGCCTTGTACTAATATTTAACTAACTTATTTATTCATGCTCATAAGCATAAAATATTTAGTACCCTCAGTGGGAAATTTTAGCTGTATCTTATTCAATTCAATGGAATCTAGTGTTTCCTTGGTAATTAACTCATACAAAATGTTGGGAAAGGGGAAAAATAGCAATAGTTGCTTCTAAGGTATTACTTGCCCTCCATGTCTTCCTAAAGAGCAGGATTTGAAGTTTCTCCTTTATATAGAAGAGTAACTTAGGGTATTAATATTTGTAATTAAGCATTCATAGATTTAGGAAGCCTGTGTTTATCTGGAATATGTTTATTATCAGAGTCCCTTTTCCAATCCTGTACATTAAATATGTATGTTTTAAAAGCTTTAATTTTAGATTTTCTGCTGTCTGTATGGTACGTTCTTCACTATGACTTTTTACCCAATTGAAAATTTTCTGTATTTTTAAAATCTATAGCTTATTTAAAATCTCCTAATATGGTAGGGTGAATGGTGATACCCCAAAAGGTATGTTCATGTCCTGATTCCTGGAACCCATGACTAGGCCTTATTTGGAAAAATGGTCTTTGAAGGTATAATTAAGTTATGGATGTGGAGCTAAGGAGATTGGTTTGAATTATCTGGGTGGGCTTTAAATCCAATGACAGGTGTCTTAAAAAAAAAGAAAAGGCAGAGGGAGATTTGAGACAAAAGAGGACAGAGGCACTGACCACAGGGGTGGATTGGAGTGATGCAGCCACAAGTCAGGGACGTCCAGCAGCCACCACAAGCTGGAAGAAACAACAGTTCTCCCCATCGTCTCCAGAGCGAGTGTGGCCCTGCTGACACCCTTATTTTGGATTTCTGATCTCCAGGACTGAGAGATTACGTTGCTGTTGCTTTTAAGTCACCAAGTCTGCTGTGGAGCCACAGGAAACTAATATACCTAGTGAAATTCTAATGCTGAGATGCTTTTAAGGATGTAGGCTGCTTATTAAGGAAACAACAGCTGAGACCTGGTTGGCCTCAATATGGTTTGTTTGAATACAGTTAAAATATGGACATGACCTGGATGGAAGGGTGAAATCCATAGTGTTGAGAGCTCAGGAGTCCATTTCATATTGAGTAAGTGCTTAATAATTGTTGGATATTAATACCGTTAGCATTTGTCATAGTAGCATCTGCATGAACAAATCAATTTACTTGGCCCCATTGTCTTCTAGTAAATATCTCCCTCAAAAATTCAGAAATCAGAATAATAAACACTTGGTTACCCATTCTGCTTCATTGCCACTCTGCTATCCATCATCAGTCTCAATTTCCTACTTCTGTCTACATTAGATCCTATGATTTTGTAATATCGAAACTTCAATTTTCCCAAGATAATCTACTCCCAAACTTTCCTTTGTATTTATGTTTTCTCCCTTGCTGTCATTCCTGTTCCCTACTACGTACCCCCAAGTAGGCTTTTCTCATCCTGCTGCTGATAGACAGGCAGCCAATAGAGAGATAGTTTGGCATGGTATTAATAGAAAGTAAAAAGTGCACATTACTACTGACTTTACAGAAATAGAATTATAAGGGAATACTACATAAGAGATTCTGCACTCAATTCTGATGTGTGTTGGGGTTTCCTGATACCACCAAGCAATTTTTGGACACTACCAGGGTGTCCTATAATTCAACTCAATTCTAACACTGTCTACCCAGATACAGCATCAGATTCCACAGGTTAAAGGCTCAGTCACACAAGACTGAATTCCACTTCAGATGCCAATCACAAGCCCAGGTTATTTGTGCTTCTGACTGGGTATCAATCAGAGGTTCTGACCCCCTCCTTGGGTTCAGTTAATTTGCTAGAGTGGCTCACAGAACTCAGGAAACCCATTTATGTACTTGAGTATCAGTTTATTACAAATGACATATAAATCAGCCAGATGAAGAGATACACAGGGCAAAGTCCTGAACAAAGGAGCGTTTGTCTCCATGAGGTTCAGTCCTGGGATGGTGGCATGTGGAAGTATTCTGGTTCCCAGAAGCTTTCCAAACTCCTTCCTTTTGGGTGTTTATGGAGGCTTTGTTACATAAATCATAGGGTATTTCATTTGTGGTTGAAGTTGGATCTCTACCTTACAGCCACAGGAAACTAATATTACTAGTGAACTCAAAATGGATCAAAGAGCTAAACTATAAAACTCTTAGAAGAAAACAGGCCTAAATCTTCACCATCTTGAGTTAGGCAATAGTTTCTTAGAGATTACACCCAAAACATAAAAAAGGGAAAAATTAGATGAACTACATCATCAAAATAAAACACTTGTACTTGAAGGACACCGTCACAAAGTGAAAAGGCAAGTCACACAATGGGAGAAAAATTTTACGAATCATATTTGATAATGAACATGTATTTAAAAAATATTAAAAACTCATAAAATTGAAGACAAAGCCCAATTTTAAAATGCGTAAATGATCTGAATAGACATTTCTTTAGAGAAAGACACATTTGGCTACATAGTACATGAAAAGATACTCAATGTCGTTAACTGTTAGGAAAATGTAAATCAAAACCATAATGAGATACTACTTAAGACTCACTAAGATGACTTTTTTAAAGATGTTTCGGCAAGAAAGTGGAGAAATTGGAACTCATACAGTGCTGATGGGAATGTAAAATGGTGCAGTCACTTTGTGTAGTAATGGCTGTACAACTCTGACTATACTAAAAGCCACTGAATTGTACAGTTTAAATGAATGAGTTATGTGGTATGTGAATGTAAATTATATCCCAAATTACACTGGTAAAAATAACGAGTACTTGCTCCAGAAACAATGCCTGGCTTCCTCTATAGCTCCATCACTAGTGCTGTAACCTTGGACAGATCACTTTCCCCATGCCTGTTTCCTCATCTGCAAAATGGGGAGAATAAAAATTATTTCAGAGGGTTATAAGAGTTCAGTGAATTCCTGCTGCATAAACACTAAGCCTGCCACATGATGTAAGGTTCTGTTATTAACAAATTGAGCCACCAGAAGGCAAGGGTTGTATCCATTAATCACCATCTCCAGTGTTTGATATATATAATGAAACATTAAAAAAATCTATTCTCCAAGTTTCAGGTCCTGTCCCAAATAGCTAAATTCCAACTGTCTTCCCCAACTTAACTTCCAATTGTCCCATGATGTTCAGAAACCACTGTTCACTGTCTCCGTATATCAACCCACTCAACAACCCAGTACATATCAGAACAATTGTCCAAAATAACTCTCTCCTTGAAACAAATCCTACCATTTGCAACAACATGGATGGAGCTGGAGGACATTATGCTCAGTGAAATAAGCCAGGTGGAGAAAGACAAGTGCCAAATGATTTCCCTCATCTGTGGAGTATAATAACAAAGCAAAACTGAAGGAACAAAATAGCAGACTCAGACTCCAAGAAGGGACTAGTGGTTACCAAAGGGGAGGGTGGGTGGGGAGGGAGGGAGAAGGGGATTGAGGGGTATTATGTTTAGTACACATGATGTGGGGGATCACTGGGAGAACAGTGCAGCACAGAGAAGGCAAATAGTGGATCTGTGGCATCTTTCTGCACTGATGGACAGTGACTGCATTTGTGTATGGGTGGGGACTTGATAATTTGGGTAAATGTAGTAACCACATAGTTTTTTCATGTGAAACCTTCATAAGAGTGTATATCAATAATACCTTAATAAAAAAAACACAAAAAAACGAAACTGCAGCCCAAATGGCTTCATCCCTTGGAGCCCCACCTGATTAGTGGAATCTTTCTTCTTTTTCACTCCTCATTAAAAGCTTTGCTGATCGCTCTGTGAACTAACTAGCTAACTAACTAACCAACTAGCTAGCTAACTAACCAACCAACCAACCAACTAACTAACTAACTAACTCTCTCCTTTATCATTTGTGATCTCCTAAAGGTCAGTTTACCGGATGTCTGTTGTTTTTGCCTGCCCAGCATCCATGGTCTTGGTAACTTCAGTTTTCTTTGTGAAACTCTTTCCTATTGCATTTTATTTTCATGGGACTGCCTATTAAGGTGTCTCTTCTGTCTTCTGGCCAAAAGTGGACATGTGACCCTAGTAAGGTCAGTAAGACTGTAGAATTTGATGTAACATGGCACAAGGTCCAAAAATGTGCCCATTAAAAAAAATTAATTATTTTATTTTGCTATCATTAATGTACAATTATATGAACATTATGGTTACTAGACTCCCCCTATTATCAAGTCCCCACCACAAACTCCATTACAGTCACTGTCCATCAGCGTAGTAAGATGCTATAGAATCACTACTTGTCTTCTCTGTGTTATACTGCCTTCCCCGTGCCCCCCCACTACATTATACGTGCTAATCCTACTGCCCCTTTTTTTCCCCTTATCCCTCCCTTCCCACCCATCCTCCCTAATCCCTTTCCCTTTGGTGTTAGTCCTTTCTTGGGTTCTGTGAGTCTGCTGCTGTTTTTTTTTTTTTTT